TATGCAGCAATTTTAATATAGGATCATTTTTCTTGGAAAGGTTATAGATATTGAAACTGGTTTTAGAAAGGAATCTGATTACATAACGTATTCATCACGTTCAATTGAGAAGAAAGAGAATTTGGGAGAATCATAATATTGTTTTATTTTATCTCACGTATATCTCACGTATGAAAAATATTAGAAATATTACGTTTCTTCAGCTTCCTGCGTCTTACAAATTCAATCTATCGCTGCGCAATAATTTTCGTCTCGCCGCTTTAATAATAAATTATTTATAATGAGCGCGCGTGCAATGCTTAATTCTCGCGATACATATATAAAATCCTGATGGCAAGATGGTTCAATTGCGTTGATTACATCGTTCGCATATCCTCGTCTATTCGTTAGCATGAAGGAGCCTGTTTGGTAGTTATCGTGTGTGCACAGTAGCGCGTTACACGCGACGTGGTATTATATTCATCAAGTATAGTCAACTGTACTTTCATTCGAGAACCGGTGACGTGGCGGGTTGGACGCGCGCGAAGAAAGGAATGCGTACGGTTCAATTTATTTTAATAAATAATTCTCGACGCAGAAGTAAATTTAAATAACTTTTATAAATAGAATTTTTTTATACTGATTTATTCAATAAAAAAAAAGAGCGAACATATTTCGATAATTAGAGTATTTAAGTACAAAGTTACACAAACGCAGGTATTATATTAAATTAGAAAGTCTTGGAAATTATCTTTCATAGAATTAAAGTGTTGTAAATGATTTATTTATTTTTGTAATTGTTTATTTCTTGATTATTTACAAAACATTTAAATTGTGATGCTCCTGTGACTCTCGTATTATTAATGAGTTAAAGGGATCGTCATATATCGAGCCGGAAAACACTTCAAGGCCGCGGTTAGCAATCCGCGATGCTTTTTAAAGATGTTGAATGGCGTAACGCGGCTTCGTACACGAAACACGTTCAGGAGAAACTCGAGTATTGCACGAATATTCTTTTCCCGTTCTGCCCAATGTATATTGATAAAGATCATCGGATCTCAGCATGTTTTTTTATTACGTGCGGAAGTGCAATATATATATATATATATATATATATATATATATATCCTATATGCAATATTGCAATATGCGGTGTAATTTATTTATGATAATATAAGTTTGCTATTCCATATACATACACATATTTTCTCCTTTGATATCTAAAAGAAGCATTGACTTATCGTGATGTAAAGATAATGTGTAAGGGTTTATATAAGAAGATAAATATAGGAAGTGTAAACGTCTCACACAATCAATATGACAGCTGTCACATTGATCGCATTTAGCAGAGACAACAGTTATGCAACAACAATGTTTAAGTACTGGTCGAAACTCACTAGTATGCAATCTCTAAAAAGGAAAAGAATTCTAAAAATGAAGGATGGGAGATAAAGAGGTCTAATATTCTAAATATTTTTTATCTCCGAAAATCCCCAATACAATATTAAATTATATTTCTCTAAATTCTATCGAGCTTTACATTTGCATCATCTTTTATATTGCGTCAATCGTATGTGTGATTATTAAAAAACAAATATAAATATGAAAAAAATATTTATATACGTTTTACATATTTAGAAATATAATTTTCAATTGCAGACTTAAGCGCTCGATTAACATAAATGTTGCAAGGAAGTCAACAAATATGCAAAATTGCGCAGAATTGTATTTGCCAGTTGAATAATCTAGTCGCATCACGAAACGAGTTTACCGTCCGACGTGACAAATTAATGCGGAAATTCCTTAAATGCAGATCTCGAAATGAGTTCAATTATGTCTACTGTCATTCAAATGAAAACGGTACCCTCATAAACCCGCATTATTCACGATTGGTCTTCTTAAATGATTACTGCACGATGATAGATTATTCAAATGACGAAATGATGCAATCGTAAATCGCACACAGCAATGTCGGAAAAACGATCGCGACTCGTGAGTAGTCAATGAACTGGAGGAGATTGATGCAAAATTTAAATGAAAGTTGCTGTACGTAACACAAGACGGTTCATTAACTAAAAATCTTGTTGCCAGCAAGCGAGTTAAAAAAATATCCTCAGGTTATTTTAATATGAATAAATCCGTATAAATAAATAAACTGAAAAAAGATAATGCCGATAAATTATACTGAAATTAATAAAATAAAATATATATTCTTCAAATATATATTTATAATAATTTTTCCAGTATCGAGAACGAGATATAAGTTCGATAAAAGCTATATTTGCTCTATATATTTGCACAAGCGTTCATAAATATTTTCCTTAATCGTCTATAGCTGCTAACAGTTATCACTTCGTTTTGCAAATGCAACATTATACAAATATATAACGTTGAATAATCATGATGCGGTGAATTTTATAAATAAATCCATAATGCACGCGTTGAGATCAAATAACCACAGTTATAAAATTATAAAAAAATATGTACAAAAAATATTGAGAAAATAATGTCCAAAAGAGGTGTGAGAGAGTTACGATTTCTCATTATCGATAATGTAATTATTTCCATTGAGCTTCACGGCGGATTTTCCTTTCTATGTCAAAGAAATCAGCCGGGCTTGACGATGTTCCCGCGCTTGAGGCGAGCAATGGCGAAATAACAACGTGAAAGCAGAATGGTGTGGCCTAGACAAGACTGGGAGATTCGTCGGTATCCTCCTTTTTTTCCTTTTTCTCGCGAGCGACAAATGATAGTAACTCTTGATATGTACTGTCGCGAGAGGATTCACATATTGCATCCTTAGATAACAAACGTTGCTCGTAAAAATTTCCACGCGAAGAAAATACTCTCTTCTCGAACAACAGATTGCGTATATTTCTTCAAATTGAATACTTCTCGTTGTTTTTTTAATAACAATTTCGCTAAATTTCTCGTTGTATCTTGGATATTTTTTCAGATTTGTTACACCGAACTTTTTAATTTAAATAATACATACATTTTGAACAGATTTCGTCATCCTTTTGCAATGTTGTATATTTGTATCACAGCTTTATATTCGTAAAACGAAGTGATTATAGCAACTAGATGATTATCAAATGCAATTAATTTATAAATAATAATAATATATATGTTACACTACAAATTGTCCTTTTTTTTCTTTTATTTTGCATTTCATACTAATAACTTTTGCAAATTAAATCAACAAATATATTGAGCGAGTTTTTTTACTTCATCGATTGATTAGTCGATAAATTTAAAAAATCGCCCATTAATAAGAATCTTGTTACTCGCTCACCATAAAACACAATTTTAACTGTATCACGAAATGAAAGTTCTGGTAAATATGCATCATTTACCTTGCGCATTCTTTCAAAGGAACTATTCGGAACGCATGGGTGTTCGCCAAGGTTAACCTGCTGGAGCTTGCATCAGCGACGCACGTCATACTCGTATACGATTATTGGTAATCGAGGAAGAACGTAGGCGATGGAATTTCTTCAAACACTATCAATCACCACGTTATTATTGACAAACGCAACGAGACTGTATTTCTCGTACAAGGAAATTTAATATCTACCGTTCAAATGTTGAAAACAATAAAATTCAATGATGTAACGATTTATACTTTGTACGATGTTTCAAGTTCGAATCGTCTTTCATATAGTCATTGAAGAAAAAAAACAGTGAGAAAGTAAGAGTCTGGTCGTAAATTAAAAGCTTCATAAAAGATATAAATGAATCACTCAAGGAGAAATTGCGGAGATATTAATATCGTCTGCGAAATCGAATCGAGTTTTGAAAGAAACGCTTTCTTTCGCATTGTACGCTTTATCAGCGATCGGGGTAACAGTGGGTTCGAGCGAAATGTTTCGTGGGAAGCGATGTGTATGTGTGTATATGCAAAAAGAAGGAGCACGCGTGTTATTTAGCCGCGCGCGGAAAAACGTTCCTTTCCGTCGTCGACGGTCGCGATTCATGCGTTCAGATTTCCCGCGTAACGCGGTGTGTTATTATACTTTCTAGCAGACGTTGAATCGGGAAATCGAAGAGGAACTTTCTAGAAAATAGATCGTATGCAATTCGCGCCGAGGACAATTCGAGATCGGCATGAGATTATATCGTCGAGCGATCGCTGCCTGGAAGGAAGGCGATCGATACCTGCCTATACGATCTGAAATTGCATCGAATTTCGAGGGCGGTATGCGAAATACATCGTCGAACATAAGAAAGTATACACGGAACTTGTATCGACACGCATGAATAAACGCTCTCTACGCTTCTTATATAGGCTTCATGGGCGAGCTCATCGCGAAATTCCAATACTTCGCAACGTCGAGTAAAGGGAAGACGGAATCGTTTTCCCTCGTAATTTCATCCATCGCACACACGAACCAGCAATTCTTTACCACGACTGTTCATTTATACGAGTGTCACGCTATATCAAATCATTAGTGTAGATTTTTTAATGAGCGATCGATTTTTTAAATTGACAGAAAAACGTCGAGAAAATATCAAGGGCTTTATTTTTATCATTAATTGTCAATTTTTCATTATTACACATATTTTTTGCAAAGCTTCAAATTAAAGTTTCGCGTCAGTAAATTGGCAAAGTTGAATTTAGAATTCGATACGCACACACAAGAAAGCAGAGTTGCTTGTAATCGGTTTTTAGCTGTCTCTGTATTGAACGTAGTAAAATGTAGTTAAATGAGCATGGCTGTCCCTTTCACTAAAAATACGAGAGAGATTCAGACAGATGTTCTATCGTAGGGGAACACGATGTTCTTACTTTCTAACGATAATAACATTTTCGCGAAAGGAAGAACGCGTACTTCATCTGCATTCGAAAATGCATGTACAGTAGTAGAGCTCTCTCCATCAAGGCGAATTATTCGCTACAATTTTGTTCCTGCCCTTTCACTTTATCATCGTTAATAACGTGACGTTTTGCAACGTTAAATCAACGTCTTTTTTGCGATTGTCCATATCTGCCTATTCAATGAATGTTCTTCCTGTTACAGCAATACGCGAGCAAGCATGCCGAGCAGAGCAACTTGATAGAGCAAATGAACAAGAAGTATTATTATTACACGAGGACTCAGGGCTTATTCAGGATATGTTATCCCAAAGAGAGACCACCGACAGGTAAGGAAAATTCCAAAATAGATCGTTTAATAATCATTCGTATATAGGTTTCATAAATATTATGCTATCTAATATTTATATAATAATTGAAAAAAAGATTAGATAATTCTTAATTTCTCTTATCATGTGTAATTATGTGCATTCTTATTTTTAAAATATATACACTGAAAACATTGTTAAATTAATAAATATTTATTTTAACACTACCTAATAAATCATTTATTTTAAACAAATAAATATTTTTCACATCAAATCAATATTATTAAATAATTTCAAATAAATGATTTATTTGGCAATATTGAAATATCTACTTATTCAAATTCAATAAATTTTTCTCAGTGTAGCAGAATAAATAAATGCGTAAATATGAACATTGTAAAAAATTGCGGAGGCTTAATTTTCCGAGCAATATTCGCGATAATATTTACACTCCAAGATCAACAATAAATTCTCTCGGGTTTGCCGTTCAGTGACATCTCTTACGCGGCCTTTAGGAAACTTTCTATGTTACGATCTCGTAATGTCGTAGGTTATCCGATCCCACGTAATAGGTGAACAGTTTATAATCGGCTGCACAAACGCGCACAATCTTTGGAGAAAGGTGCATTTTCTCTCGATAGCTCCGGTGCAGTGCATCGCAGCGCTTTCTCATTCTAGAATCCGTTACCGTGCATAATTCAGCATTATGCGTTTGTGTGAACAATGTTAACGTACTAGGCGTTGTATGAATAAACTATAGCAAATACTTTCTTTTTTATCCGTCGAAACAAATATTTCCAAATTCGAATAAAAAATATAGGTACACTAAAAATATTTTATTATATATATATTTGTTTTATAGTCCAAAAGATTAAAAAGTAAAATGTACTATTCATAGTGGAATTTGTCGAGTAGGAAATCATCGGAAAAATCAATATCATTTCCGAGTATCGGATACAACCGTTAGTTAATTATAACACAAAAAAAAACGTGTCGTACGATCAACCACACTATTTTCCAGAAACCATTTCGAACGAAATACTTAAATAACAATATGAAAAAAATAATGAATATGAAATTCTATCTTAGAGCAAAAACCGATTTATGCGAAGTTTTTCTATCGATTTTAACCGCGAGAATCCTCGTTTTAAATTACTTAATAGACGACAAGACTTTCCTGGTTCGAGGATTGCTGGGTAATGTTTTTTACAGAACGCACCTTGTAAGTGGACCGTTGCGATCGCGGTCGTTGCGAAATAGTCGACGTGCCGATCGATCGGCCGATCACCTGCGTGTTAATGCCTTACAAATACAAGCCATATCTTAGTTGATTGCGAGGAACGAGAATGATATAGTCAAATATGAATATATAAATTCAGATTAAATTTTCACGATAATATATAGCTTCAAAAAAATGTGTTCCTTAAAAATTCTTTCTAGAAAGATAAACATTTCAAACATGAAGCTATAAAATATTTTCTCTCAAGTAGTGTCATTTAAAAAAAAAGTGCGATATATATTAATTAAAGGTATAATTAAATCTTTATAGATTGGCGAAAAAGGTGCATACGCATGCTTTAGTACAAGGATGTGATAAGATCCTACTTCGCATCATGCGTTATTTCGTATCTTAACGCTTTATGGCTTGGAACGCCTTCTCTACTTTCTACGATAATGACGCATGTCCTCTATTAATGATCAGTAACGTATCGAGAAGTATTGAAGCAATATACAGAAAAAAAACGGGCGATGTTTGTATCTTTCATGAGCAGTAAATCTGGTTAAAAATAAATATTGTAGCATGCAACTACAATGCTACATAATCGAATGCAATCACATGTAATACAATGCGATGATACATGATTAAATGTAATTAAATCCGTAATCAGCGCAATTAATCCGATTACGGACTTAATTTCATATAATAGCTCTGATCTTCGTCAGGAAGCATATGTCGATTAAATGGATTCCGATAGGAATCTAGGTCAAAGCCAATTAAGATATTAAAATTGCCGGGTCTAAATTATTCTTTAAGAGTCCATATTTTCCAATATCCATTTTTAATTACAGTTTAAATGTATTCCTTTGTTTTCCTCTAAATTCTATCTCTCTAAGATAATTGAGCTGCGATTAAGTCTTTAAAATCTTAAAATTCACATGATTGTAATATAAATAACATTTCATAGATTCTATTGTTTTTCTCAAATGCATGTATGTGAGAACCCTATAATTTGTAACAATATGTCGACACGCGCTATGTGATGTCATTTTTTTACATCACATGCAGATCGCGAAATCGACTTTTGCATGCCTCGATGATTACGCAATGCTCGTACAACGACATAATAATTAGAAATTATTATGCGAGCGTCAGCGTTGCGAAGATGTGCGTTGCGTACGATCGAATTGTACAATCGATCTGGGTAAGCAAAAATATCATATAAATACATATTCTAATAACTCTGTGTGTGTGCGTTATGTATATGCGGGATATTACGCGAAGAACGGCGAGTAGAAAATCTGAAGTGATGTAACATAAGAGCTAATAATTTTAAATCATGTTTAAACAAGAAATGTATAGAATATAAAGCAATATAAATTTATTTTTAGCTTTATCAATAATTCGGGATATGTAAAACAATTTTTTTAGACTCATACATTCTAGGATTTATTTTTTTTCTCAATCATATTATGCGCAGCTCTACTCGCGAAATTAGACTTTTTTAAAACTTTCTAAAAGAAGTATTCAGAGCTTGATTTGTGACACTAATTGAAGGTTTAAAATATATATATATACATATGCGTGTATATGTATATGCGTAAATTCTTTTCGTGTAAATCCGGTACAGGTGATTCCAGTTCTCCCGGAAGTTTCAGATTGCGCATTCTTTGAGCGGGAAGTGAAAACGCTTGCCCATGACGAAGCACCGACTATAGTAGATGCGGGTTGTGCATACATTAGAGGGCTCATATAAAATCTATTGTTATCCGCACAATAGTGAACCATAGTCGTAAAGAGGAAGCGGCGAATCAAGCGGACAGGGTTCGTAAAATTCCGAGATAAACGCGAGGAAAGTGTGTCGATGTCGCGTGTTACAAAGCAGATTCGTTTCACCAGAGAGAATCGATTAAAATTGACTCTATTGAGCAAATTGTTCTATTGAGCAAATAGTATGCTATTGAGAAACAAAATGGAAAAACGCGCATTGGTGTCTTATAACATAGATAGGAATGTAGCTGGAGAAAGAGAAAGAAAGATAAATATTTGACCTATACAAGATATATATGTACTTGAAACCTATCTGCCAAAAATTGCGGACGACAGGTGAAATTGCTGTCCCAAAATCACCTGACGCGAGAAGATGTCAAGATCGCATCGGTTGCTTTCTTACACGATACGATACACTGAAAACAAATTATTAAATTAATAAATATTTATTTTAATACTGCCTAATAAATCATTTATTTGAAATAAATAAATATTTATCTGTTTCGAAAAGAATTTTTTTATATCAAATAAATATTTTTCACATCAAATATTATTAGTTTCAAATAAATCATTTCTTAGGCAGTATTGAACTAAATATTTATTCAAATTCAATAAATTCTTTTTTCAGTGTAGCAGCATCCGTCATAAATAATTTTGTTCTCATTAAATTGAAGTAATCGTTCTCATTACCCTATATACTAGTATATTTATTTTCGCGAAAGAGCTAAGTTAGTAGATCCTAGATTAATAATGAATCGCAATAGGCGATCTAATTTAGGTAACATAAACGATCGGATGGCGGATGCTGAAAGTATGGAGACAATGCTTTCTCACCGGGATCGCGTAAACGAAAGACACTCTGGTACATGTACTTGTTTGGTAAGATCGTGGGACCAGAAGAGATGGCGAGGAAAGGCGAGGCGTATCGAGGCCGGATCGGTGAGAATCGATTCTATCGGTCGGTCGATACCGGAGCGAAGAAATTGTCCGGCTGAAGCGAAGAGAAGACTCTCTTCAACACGTTTGTGTTTCTCCTGTCGTTTGGCCGGAAAATAATCGAAATGATCGATGCATCGCTCGTATCACCGCAATACCGTTCGCCGACCGACAATGCCTTATCGGTTTCGGCGTGCCGTTTTCTTCCGGCGACCCGCTTCCGGCGACTTCGATTTATTAGGCGCACGTGATAAAGCTATCTTCGCGCCGACAAGAAACTTAAGCTAAGTGTTAGGTGTGTAATACTTAAAATAATGCGAAAAATGTTATCTTAAAATACTGTAAAAGCATTTGAAACAAAATCTACACCGAGAAAATTTTCTGTTAGAAATTCACCCTGAAAATTATGGTAATCGTGGAACAATATGGTATTGGAAGAATTTTATAAGAGTTTCTTTGATTAAATATTTATACCACAAATAATATTTTAAGAAAATTTGCCATCCGAATTTCTCTTCTATCCATTAATTTCTATTATTTAATATTAACTCTATTGATTTCCCTATTAGCATTCAACTAATATAATTGACAATAAAAATCATATCAAATCATATTCTAGATTTATTTCCAAATTTTACATAGAATATTCCACAATTATAAATTGCTTTTTCAATAACAAATTCTTTAATTAATATCAATATTTTCTTAATGAAAATATGATTAGCATATATGTTTTCCGAATTGTTTCGTATAATTATCCTCTGTAACGAAAAACCTCAAATTAAAAATGTAAACTCTTCTTCCGCAATATATATATAATATAATCTGAAACTTATTAATGCGACATTTTCGCCACAGAAAACTCGATTTTAAAGTGATTAAAAAATTTCTTACTAAAAAGATGTTGGATAATTCCGGAATACTCTGTACACGAAACAATTTTGAAATCAACCTGACAATTCTTGGAGATATATTTGTCGAACATCCGTGATATATTTGATCACGTGAAATTTTGACGAATAAATTTTATCATACTTTTATACGTCATTGGCCAGCGTCAAAAATCGAGGTCACGAGACATACGGTCGCGAGTGGACGCGCGAAAAATTTGAAGAAACCAGTCAACGACCGGTCCGGTGGCTTTTATCTCTGCCTTCTGGTATCACTCGCGTCGCGTGTCGAAAAAAGGTACGTGGAAGGCCCCGCGCGATTACTCGGCATCGCCACCGACGCTGAAGATCCCTCTTCCGGAATGGTGAGGAGCATATAACGCGTGTACAGTTAGGCGCGAGTCAACGATCTTGGCATGACGCCTCGTTTAGGCGGAAACTAGATTCGAAGAGGGTCGAGAAAACGGCCGCATATCCATCGTCCGTCACTTGAATCGCAAATATTTCAAACGGTATGCTTCGCCGCGAAAATATATCTCGATCGGATGTGTCGAGTCGGAAAACTGCATGTTTCTCTGTCCGCTTATTAATTCCGACGATTCCTGATTTCCGATTTTTTTCAGTGAACGATTTTCATTCATTTACAACCGAGGGATGAAATGACAAAATTAAATCATAGTTGCTAGGAAAAAAATAAAAAATAAAATATAGCTGAAAAATATATAGATTATATATATTATATATAAAAAAAGAATAATATATAAATAATAAATGATATATATATATATATTGAATATATATATAAAAGATAATATATATATATTAAAAAAAAAGAAACATTTAATCGAGAAGTATTTGAAACATTTGATCCTGCGTTTATTTCGAATCTGCGCGTTAAATTTCGAAGATTTGATTTCACTCGAAGAGATCGCGTTTAAATGTCTGAACGTCATTAGCGATAACGATCCTTTATGAGAAATTAAATGTCGCAAAAACTTCTCGAGATGGCAGATATTGCTTGTCCCGGCTCGCCAATCAGATATATCCATTCACCAAGAGGAGACCGTGAAAGCACGGCTACTTTACGACAACTCTTTCCTCCGCGCGATACGTCTTTCGAAAGTGGCATTTCGCGGATTAGGATTCGCTAAAAGAGTACCGTTGCAAGACCGACGAAAGACCGAGCGCGCGCTCGCGCATGCGAGCCTACGTAAGGGGATACAGGTAAAAGCATACCGCACACTGCGCCAGCTGCATTCTGGGTCGCATGCTTTTCGAGACGGGAAGGGGCTGTGGGATCTTGGAGTACTGAGATAAATCCCAGCAATAATTTCCCACACAGATAAATATATACGAGCCTGAAAGTATTTAATAAATGCGTGTTTCCAAAAGTTCCTCATATTCTATATATAATTGAAGGTTAAACAAAGGATATATTTCTAATGATCAACTATACCGAAAACTGTAGAATATTATTAAAATATAAACAAGTGTCTTTTGAATATATCCGAAATGCATTTAATGATGTGATAGAAATCGTTGCAATAAAAAGATGCTGTAAATTTTCAGAGCAGCACATAATTACAAAAGATATTTCAAATTTATGTTTCAAAAAATAAAAATTCAGAGATAATAAGTTTGATTTCCCATTAATATCAAACTGATATTATTTTATCAGAAATTTCACTACTTTCTATTATATACATGATAGAAAATTTTAACACTGAAAAGTTATGAATAATAATAAAATCTTTTATTTTTTCTAAAAAATCAAATTAAAACACTCAGAAAACATTCTTTTTATTTATAGAATACTCGATATAAAAATTTTATTTGCAATTTTTCTTATTATATCTAAAGGACTTATTTAGAATTTCCCTCAAATTTAATTCTTTCATTCTTTTTATATCTTTTAATTTTGATTTCCTTTAAAAGCTTTTTATATAAAAATAGAACACGAAATTGAATTGAATTGTGGTGTCTAATCCATTTCCTTATTGCTTCTTGTGTAATCTACTGCATGGCAAACATTCTGTTTTCAACTAAATTTCTTTAAAATGACATGAATTTTCTTGACAGTGATATAAATGACACCATCTGTATAGGCGTGTAATATGTTATTTCGTACTTTACCGAGATTTCACATTTATTTCTCTTAGAATGCAGTGCGCTTGAATTCTGGATGTTGTAATCAGACGTTGGATGAACATTAACTCGCATACCGCGCGGCTGGTAGAATTAGAATGTCGATTGTTATAATTAACCAATTAGACGTTGTATGTTTTTTCATGTAAAATATTTTTTATTTTTTCATAATTATAAATAAAGCAATTTGCAAACTCACGACAATAATTTTAGAAAGAAAAAATACTATTTTAAAATAGAGTTTTAAATATTAATAATTTTTTCTTTTAAAAATAATTGTCTTGTCATTATATAAGAAAAACAAAAAAAAGTTAAAAATTGATTTATAGATTTTATTTATTTATAGATATGCGGTATGCTTTCTTTCTTTTAGCCATCTCATGAGTTAATAACGCAAAGTTATACTCTTATTTATATCGTAATTATATTTTGTATATCTTTTGCAGTCGAGACTTATTTGAGCCCTGTGGAGACACATTGCATGAATATCGACTATTTTATTCCCGATGAAGAAAATCAGACGAGGGGTTTCAATGACGACGCAATGGCACGACTACGTAAGTATGCAAAATTAAACAAATTTCATTTTTCGCTCTCTCGCTTATCAATAAAAATGAGTACAGTTTTCCAAAAAATTTAATCAATTAATATTAATTATCATTAACTTAATTAACGACTTTCTTTTTTTTCATTGTTAATTTTTTTTCTAATACATCTCAATATGTATTTTAAAAATGATTCTATTAATTTATAAACTCTGTTTAGATAAGAAATTAAAATATGTAAATTGCTTTTAAACATACCAGTTTTGAAAAGTCTACTTAATTTATTTTAATGTGAAGTAAATGCACGCGTGTGTCAAACTTTCTCTTAATATACTTAATAGAATTCTCATAAACATCTCATATTTTGATCATGCCAATCACGCCAACGCATCATGCCAATACGTAATATCAAAAAAGTTAAGTCTTACTTCACAATACGTCTGCAAGTACAAATGACGAATTATAGATATTTTAGAATTCGGTCACGTTGTTGCCCGATGTAGCGCGAATGGAAAGTTCGATCGCTGATACGACGTGGCAAAGTAAACGCGTGAAAATAGTATAAAAGGCAAAATATAATTTCCAGATTGTTATAAAAATTATTATAAAATGATCCTTTGTAAATGCATATGCAAAAAATACATAACGCATTTAAATATCTTATTATTGTTATAGATATGGGGAGATCTGTGATAGCTCTCTTCATGGTCGGCTTTTTCGCGATATTTTCGGCATTTTGGACGGGAGTAGTCGGATGTTGGAGAAGATCACCAGGAAACATTACGGCCACGGCGATTCTAATGTTATTTGCCTGTCAGTATATTTTTTAATATCAATTTTTGAAAATATTCACTGAATAAAGATATTTGGAATATAATCAAACATCTTTTTTTCAATTATGTAGGTCTACTGAGTGCTGGTGGTATGGGCTTATGGCATGGCGTAGAGTATTATGAAAAAGAGAAACTCGTCGGGGAGGAATATTATCAACAATGGAGCAACGTAAGTAGTGTTCTAAATTTTTCTTTGGACAGTAATTTTGTTCTCAATATCAAATTATTTATGTAAAATGCTCAACAATTCGTTCAAATGTTAAGATTTGTCGTTGACTGTTCATGTCGATCGCATACAGAAGATTAGAAATAATACAGTATGCTATAATAATAATATCGATCATTTAGATTATTTAAATTGCCCTAAGATAGAGTTTTATACTTTATCTAAATTATCCACGCGATCGCTTAAAAGTCAACTGCAATTGATTAATATTAAGTATACATATGTTATTAGCGAGCAAGATAAGCGAAAAAGATGCAGACTTTTAATGCAAATTAAAATTTAATGCTGAAACAATTTTTAGAATAAAATACTAAATATTTTCTCTATATAAAATCATATTATATATAGAGAAGTGTTTCGCTTGTCTCGCACCGCGAAAAGATTCTTTCCAGGCACATCGAATCGATCTGTCTCATCGAATATCTGCATCGAATCCGAGGAAGCGTATTCTACTGATGGCAGAGACAATGATATAGTGTTTAAAAGAAATTTACCCGCAGGTTTTAAAAGAAAACACGGCGCAATGGTACGACTGGTCGTTTTATCTTGCCTGGCTGGGGGTGGCTACGTGTCTGGGTACGATGACGCTATTCCTGATCGCGGCATCCTGCCTGAGAAGGGAGCGTGCCCGCGAACAGGCCCAGAACGTTCAGTACATTATGCCAGGTGACACGATAACCATGAAACGGTCGAACTAACTCGTCCCGTATCTCTTTTTTTTCTTTGTTATATACTACGCCCGGCGCGACATGGCACGACACGACACGGCACGACATGGCACGCGGGGGAAAAAACTGTCCCTAGGTCCTGAAAGACAACTCGCTAATCTCGTACGACTGGTCGTACGTGGTCGCTTGGGTCGGCGTCGGTTGGTCGTTGGTCAGCGCGATCTTGTTTAGCGCCGCGGCGATTTGCTTGAGGGGCGAGAGAATGCGCGAGGAGGCGATGAACATGCAGTACCTCATGCCTGGTACATATATAACATTTGCTTTCGCTAATTACGTGCACGCGGCATCCGACTATTCTAATTATCCAGCGATTCTTTCCACGATTTTTGCGCGCTATTTTTATTTTATTTTTGTCCAAGCCCGAAATATCATCAAAGATCTCACACATCACAAATTTCTCCAATGTTTCTTACAATTTTTATGCTCACTTTTATTAAGTTTTTTTTTGTTATAAAATATTATAATTATTGGTACTTGGATTTAAATATGAATAAATTATAAATAATAAAAAATGTTAAATCTATACTTTGCTTCAAGTAGCAGCGACTGATATCAACGTAATTTCGTAAACTAACAGTGAAACATAGTCAGATTTTTGTGGTCGTGATTTAAAATTCAATGATAACAATTTCTCTTTAAATAAAATCCTAAGAAGTATGTCGGATTCCACGTGCATTGAATGTTCTACTAACTTTAATTTATAATCATCAAACTTGATCACAAGGAACACGTTCCTTGATATAAGAATAACGATCATCTCGTCATCATACTAACTGGACTCAAAAGAAGAACGTCAATGCGGATGATATCATTAAACTCATTTTTAAATTCAGCTATTTTTATAAATATTTAATAACATTATATATTATATATATATATATACACATATATATATATATATATATATATATATATATATATATCTAGTTTACTCTAAACGTTTCCGTATTAAGACAATAATTATTATGCACAATTTATGCATTAAATCAATACCTATTATTTAGATTTAAGTTATTAAATATAATATTATATAGTTTTATTTAAGTTAATTATATTTAACTTGTATTAAATTTTTATTTTTTATAGAAACAATATATCCATAATAACTATTATTTTTAAGGATTTTAATTGATTCCAAATTACAAATAAATAATCTTTAAATATATATCCAAGGTTCGAGAACATATTATATATAAACTACAATCGTAAACTAATTGAATGACAATACATAGCGCAAGACAAAAACAATCAGATCGCTTATTTAACTGTAACAAACCAAAGATTTTGTCAATCCCAATAACGCCTGTATATAAGAAGATTGGTCCTTACTGTTTGAATAACCCTGTTCGGTAATATTTTGAAAATATTAGCTGCGAACTTGTAAATATATGAAAAATGAGGCCACGTGAAACTAGTTCGATGAATATTAACTTGAAATTGCATGCCGAGGTTTTAGAATCAGTTTTTGCGCAATTTTCTAAGCTAAAACGAAGAGTGAAGCCGCGCGGAAAATTACTAGCCGGTCGAGTATTTAAATAAATTTTTTAAAAATAATTAAATTTTTTCGATACATCTATTTCAATATTACCAGTCTCATATTTTGATGGAGATTAAATATCCAGTGCTTCAATTAAAAGGAAATTTATATTTACAAAGAGCGATACATTCATATAACTGACATTGAGTAGAATCAAATGTGACAAAAGTATAATGTAAAATAACAAAGTTAAACTCTTTATTTAATTATTTAATTTAATATTTTCTGTATTTTTAATCCGAAGATATCTGTTTCATAAATAATGTACACGACCATATATGATTATCGATAATAATATATAATATGAAAATAATGTGATTAAGATTTAGGCAAATCAATTATCAGAGTGCACTGATAATATGACGTGTGGCAACGACTTATAATATTCATTCTCGCGAAACTTTTACTTGTCCGTCTCACGCTCTGTTTCTGTTACGGATTAAAGTACTTTTGTCACGCTCTAATCCTGAAGGAAACTTTCTAGTTCTCCTTCGGATGATCGATCGAGATGCATCCAGTACTGTTTTTCCGAACCTATTTTAATACTTTAAACTATACTTTCACTATAGTGAATGATATGTGACTTCCATTTTTATCTCGCTACGTTTTTCTCCCATTGAATTACGTGTCGTAAAAAAATCTTTAAAGTATTATATATTTCTTTCTCTACTTTTTATTATCTATATAAATAAAAAAAAATTGATCTTTCTTATCGAATGCAAAAAGTTACAATTTTGTTTCATAAAATTATATACAATATGACACCATAATTGTAAAATATATTAATTATACTACTATCTAATCATTCAAGATTGCATATATATTTTTTTAAACAAATGTACAAAGAAATATGCTCAATTGTGAATATAACTTTCCTTTTTCTTTCACTTTCATTGTTTTTGATATGTGAACTTTTGGATCTTTCGATAAGTTGGATCCACAATTGTAAAGACTTATGCACGATAATTGTTCTCTTTTTCAAGAAAAAGAAAATGGAAAACCGGTAATACTATATTATGTAAAATCGAAGTAATCGCTCGAAAGCGACACACTTGCCTAATTTTCCGTGCATTCATCGACCTCTTGCTACAAAAAAATTTCCGCGTGTTTTCGCATTCAATCCCGTATTCCGTTCGATCGATGTCGGAATTCAATTTACGTAGAACGTGTCTTATTTAGCAACACCAAATGTATAACGTCTTTTTCCAAAGATCAGTAAATATTTAAATTATCTGAATGATAAAAACGTGTTCTTTGGTCAATTAAATTTAAACTAATTTTTCGAAAGTATATTTAAAAATAAAAATTTAAACAAATTAAAATAAAATAAAAAATATTTAAAATACTTAAAATGTCCATCATTTAAGAATTATATATACATCAAAGTTAAAATAGCTTACAATTAGTAAAATTACTTTGCCTCGTTTATTTGATGATCTAATTAAACTCTAACATTCTTCGTTTATCGAAAAGTATCAAATCTAATCTTTTTTCTCGTTTCTTCTAGTATACCCGCAAAAGCAGCAATACGCGTATGCCGGATATCCGGCACCAGCAGCATATCCGGGACCATATTATCACGGTTCTCAATATGGACCCTACAACTATTGAAGGAACTCGGCCGGTCGGCATCGAAGGAAAGAAAGTAATCCAGGCGCGTTCGTCGCCAGTATCGAAAAAAATTCACTATCGTGTCATTTAGCAGGATGAGGACGAAAAATATTCAATATGAAATTTAAGAGACTCGCTGAGAGATCGATCCGTGATTGATAGGGTACAAAGAATATATCGATTCGAAGGACCTCCGATCTCAAGCGTAACTTATCCCTACATATAATTAAAAATTCGTGGCTCTCTGAATGTTGCTCCGAAATAAGGATGTCGCCACGATAAATTCCCAAAAGCAAGCTCTTTTCTTCCCGCGATAGTCCGATCGTTTGGTTCCATCTAACCGGAGGCAAGAACCCAAACAAGACGAAAGGCCGAAAGACGTTTGAGAGAAAGTTTCTAAAGAAAGCCCGAAAAAATATACGGGAACGCCTTCTTTGGACGTTCTTACTCGCGTCTTTCAGACGTTCGCGTTGTCTGGAAAGACTTGCGCGAAACGGTTGCTCAAAATCCGCGTACTTAATATTTAGAAGTGAGAAATTATTTTGTACTTTTTTTCCAGTTCAATAAAATATAAGCACACCGATCATCCTTCATGCATCCTTCCCGCGTGTGCATATAAGAACGTGTGAATTCGCGCTCGCGAAAGATATGCGTTCGTCGTTTCCAGCGGACTCCGATGATCGATTTTATCGAGCTTTCTCGAATTCTCATTAAGGAACGTTAGATCGTTGATTTATTCAATCTTGTGGTGACGATTCCGCAAGAAGAGAAGGTCCGATAGAAAAATTGTTAATCGCCCCGAGGAAACTTGATAAAAACAGTCGCGAGTCTCGTAATTGAATTGATCGACCACGTCGATCGAATTCAGATCTGCGAAGCTTTGTGACGCCGCGTTTATCTTTATTTATTTAACGCGATCGAAGCTCAAATCTCTCTCGAAGAGAAGACAGCCGTCGTCGAGTTGCGCAAGCAAAGTGGAAACGTTCGTGTATGGACGCTCTCACTTCTTGGTAGTACCAAATATTAAATAAATATATGTCGACTCAACACACGCAAGAAAAAAGAGATTGAATTGCGATTTCGCGAAAATATTTGTTCGCGTCGCGAATTTAATTTAACTTTTTCGATAACGGAACCGATAGATCTTAATTAAAGATATCAAAACGCACAACAGTTATAGCATATACAAGATATGATTTGAAAGAAAACGGTAATATTTACAGTTTTCCCTAAATTATCTTATATTAAATGTATATATTTCAATGAGAATCTATCGTGCTCCAGAGTGCTGTTGGAACGCATACTTAATAAATTAGAAATTTTACTCGAAAAAATTAAAGCCACTTTCTCGAATACATATCGTAACATATAATGTAAACATTTATATAATATGTGGTGCTACTAGGATCGTTGACAATTTGTTAACGAGTTCGAAATTTATTTAGTATGTAGCTTTTTTGATAATGTCGATTTGTAAGATTCATTACATCGATATCATTTTATGTAAGGATATTTAAGAAGTAAGAAAAAATACACTACTCTTTCTCTCTTCCTCTATCTATCTTTCTTTCTTCAATTATTTTATATATACATAACATTTTTCAGTAAATAAACTATATCGAAATCATTTTCTCTCTCTATCTTGCGTCTTCCATATATAAATAAGTCACACTTTATCTTGACTTAAATTTTTCTTATCTTTAATTTATCCTTCGTCGTAATTTCTTTCGTCAGCTCTTCTTATGAACGAGAGCAAAGCAATATTTCGTTAAAGAATAAATTATGTATATCGCAGATTATTACAAAAATATTAAGAATGTATTAAAATTAAAAATGCATTGTTAATGTTATATCATAATCGCGCGATGAAAAAGCTAAATAAGATTTAAGAATGAGTGTAAGTATAAAAAAATTAAGGCAACAAAAAGTTGTATGTAGAACAAAACAACGAAAATTTATCAAATTTTAGATATTAAATATATATAATAGAATAAAGAAGAAAATATATATGAAATTAATGATTTATAATTAATTCATTATATATAATAATTAGAATTAGTATTAAATCCTTATTTCCAAAATCTCCAAGTTTTTAATTTTCCTATCATATTTAAGCATTCTCATTACAAAATATATTATTTTCATGTTATAAAATATACATTATCTTACTTTTTCATATATATAGTAGATATATAAATTTAAAAGAGAAATATATATTTTTAAAGAAAAGTATAATATGTAAAAAAAAGGAAACGATAAATTATTATATAATTTGCGCATATATATGTAAATAGTATATATATTAATTTAATTAAAATTGATTTCAAATGTTGGTATAAAATTAAAATAAAATTAAGCTTGTACATGTTAAAAATAATTATTAAAATTAAAAATTGCCAATGAAAATTAATTAACAAAAATTCATAAATAATCATTTACTGTCAATTTTATTGATAAAGCATTTTATTGTATTTTAATTTTTTTATTGTTTTTATTTCGTAAGGAGATTATCTTTATGTCTTATGGTAGCATGTATATATAAATAAATAATTATTTTTTTATATATTTAACGTTTCAATATTAAAAGAGATCGTTCAGCAAAATTTTTATACAAAATTAATTTAACCATGATAAAAATCTAGCCATAAAATAATTAGCTGCGCTTCCCAGCATTCAAGGCCAATCCTTCTCAGATAACACCAAGTGCAAAATTAGCGCATATAAGATATCTTTAAGATGTCTTTTTGATATATGATACCATAAGATTTCTTAAAGCTTTTTTAAAAATTTCTTAATGATATCTTTTATGCGCCAATTTTAGACTTGCTGTCTGGGTTAATTAAATATCTACTGCGCATCCGCGAAACTATATTGCACTTTCTGCACTCAGAAATGAAGCAGAGATATATGTAACAAAGCTTCCGAGAGAAAGAGAAGGGTGAAAAGTACAAATGGTCGACTACGAAGAACAGACCTCTCGTTCTGTTACGTCATCTGATTCTGTGGCTGGTCAGGCTGCGCTCACACGTCACAGAATCAGTCGACGCGTGACTATCTCAGAGTGAGGAGTATGTTTGAGGTTGCGTTATGTATTTTTCTGGCTGTCACCGCGTCATCATGCGCGGCCCAACAGAGTAATCCGGACAAGATACCTTTCACGAGTGAGAAAGTATGTAATGCATATATAAACACCTCTCGTTGCACACATCTGTTTTGCGGAGAAAGACAGCTTTCTCATTATTTGCACCGCTCTTTCTCTGTCATTGTCATGCTTTACCACTGGTCTTCTGTCACATTCTTAACTAATATATATTTTTGTTACATGATTTCAAGTATCAGCATACACCCGGCCGACTGACAAATGAACAGGTTACCACGTTGTCTGGTCTTAGTAATATTACTAATATGAACGAAATCTTGGATAACATATGCGTAGTAAGGATCGTGGGAACTCCCGAACACATGAGAGTACGAGAGGTAAGAAAGAAGCAGGAAATTTCCAAATTTTAAACTTTGTTAATATCTTTTCGAGAATGTAGCGAGATAATATCAAAAATTTCAAATTGGAAATGCGCAAAAATTAAATAAAGTTAAAATAAACTGAAAAAACTCAGTGTTCATACTGTTGCTAATATAACTTATTTGTACAATTTTCCTACATTGATATATTTAAAAATCATACACCAAAAGTTTAGAAAAAGTTAAAAGTACATCTTGTTATTATAATATTGAAAAAGCAAATTTTGATATACATGTATATACAAATATAATGTTGCAATATTTGTTATAACATCTACTGCGAGAAAAGTAAAATGCATATTTTTTTTCAGTATATCAAAAACTCGATGAGAGATTTAGGTTGGACAGTAGAGTCAGATAAATTTGAAGCCGATACACCTACATTTGGCAAATTGGAATTTGAGAACATAATAGCGAAATTAAATCCTGATGCGAAAAGATATCTAGCACTAGCTTGCCATTTTGACTCAAAGTATACAAGAGAGAGAAACTTTGTTGGGGCCACAGACAGTGCTGTACCATGTGCTCAAATGATTAATTTGGCTACTGTTATGACCAGATATTTACCTAGACAGGTAAATGACAGAAAATTATAAGATAGACTATATAAAAAATCTTATAAATTTGTATTTACATTATTATGTCGATATTTTATAGCAAAATGTCAGTTTGATGTTTATTTTCTTCGATGGAGAAGAAGCATTTGAAGAATGGGGTCCAAATGATTCTATTTACGGTGCCAAACATTTAGCTGACAAATGGCACAATGTGAAAACTTATGATGGAGAAAATCATTTTTCTGAATTAGATAAAATGGTATATATATTTTTTTTTTTGATACAATACTATTATTAAAAATGTGTTGTGTGTATGTATATGATTGTTATAAGAGTTATTAATTATATGACATTTTTGTTGCAGGATATGTTAGTGCTTCTTGATTTGCTGGGAGCACCAGATCCAACTTTTTACAATTATTTTGAAAATACCGAGAAGTGGTATTCTTTCTTAGTTAATAGTGAAAAGAAATTAGCTGATATGAAAAAATTAGAATCTTATTCATATGGCAAACCGAAACAGAGCTATTTTCAACCATATTCATTTCATCCAAATATCGAAGATGATCACATTCCCTTTTTAAGAAAGAGTGAGTAGTGAATTATTACTCTAATGTACGAAAATTATTTTATATACATTCCATCTAACTTCTGTTTTTTTTTTCAGATGTGCCTATTCTGCATTTAATACCGATTCCGTTTCCGTCCTTTTGGCACAAATCGAGCGACAATCGACACAATATTGACTTGAACACTACAGAAAACATTAATAAAATACTGAGACTATTTGTGGCTTCTTACTTACATTTGTCGATTCTCTAACAAAATCAAAGAAATATTGTATGTATCTCAGAAAAATAATTGGGAGAAAATTTAACATTACGGATTTCAGAAATTTTTTTTGGTAATAAACAACTCCAACACAATTGTTAGACCGATAATACAAGAAATGCGTAGTGTTAAATTTATAAAGTATGAAGTATTTACCAAAAAGAAAAATAATTTTAATTTGAAGTAATGTAAATATTCGATATTTCCTATAAATTTTTGCCATTTGGAATATCTATTTTGCTATACATGCTTTTATGAAATATTTGTATCATTCCAGTTGGTACATTGTATAATTGTATCATACGTAAACATTAATTCATTATGTGAATACGATTGTATAGTATTTATAAATAAGGCAAATTCTATATTTATATAAATAATTAACAGATCTGAAAATGTAGTTTTGTACATAAACAATTTCAAATACGCCTTTAAAATATATGTTATGTATTTTCAAGTGATTTATTTCTTTCATAATTTGTAAAGAATTTATATTTAATTTCTATCTCTATACACGTAGTGTTTGTATGTTGCTGAAGTATAAAATAAAATTCATAAACGCGCCTGTATTTTTACGAGAAATATTAAAAGACACTTTAGGAGTCATAAACGTGTAGGAAGCTCGAATGCGTGACATCCTGTTACACGCTTGGAATAAATATAAGCACAAGCATGTATCCACAATATACACATATATAGATATAATCTGATGCAGTCAAAACTGATCAAACTATTTTTATATTAATATGCTCATGTGTTTTAGATTTCTATTCAAAATTTACTACTACTATTAAAACAGCAAATTTCATATTTTAATCTTAAATTCTGACTATTTGCATTTAATAGAATATTTTAATAAAAAAAAGTTATATTGCGTTTATAGTCAATAATATTAAAAATTTTCTTCTATATTATTTATACAAACGTAGCATATTAATGTGAGAAAAATAGTTCCAAAATTTTAACAAAAATTGATGAAACTCACCGATACGATGCGCAGCAGCCAAAGTTATGTAAACTGTAAAATATATCAAATACATATAATTAAATTATATAATTGAAAAAATTAAAAATAATATTTCGAAAAATAAAATAATTCTTTACATTGAATTCATATAAATAGTAAAAATTTAATAGTAAAAATAGTAATAATAAATAAATTAATTATCACCATATAGTTGCTCTGCCGTTGCCCGATACTATCGGTGAATAAAACCGATGCTTCGTTTATTCGCGTCGCCGCTTTTTTCAACACTATATATGTACTTATCGAACAACGAGAACGACTTTGAAGTCGCCAATATTCCCAAATTGGCCACTACACACTTCACACTCGCGTATTTCGATAATATAAATGCACTTCCCGCACTTTGCCAAATATTTCCGACTCGACGATTCGCGACAAAAGTTTTAGGGAGCAACGTACGATATTGAAATATAACGATAACAACAAGGCAGTGACAAAAATATACCTGTGATTTTAACAAGAATTACGAGTAATTCGTCGCGTAGCGATACTTGGACACGATAAGGCGAAAATACGAAACGCAAATCGATCGACAACGTAGAAAAACTCTGGAAATTTTCGCATCGAAAGCACCCGGTAATTCTCGCGATTCGTCCTCGTAAACTTGCGCGCGCGAACTTTTGGCGGTTCGAGTCGGAGTGACGTCACTCGTGATGACGTCACGCGATTTTTTGGAGAAACGAGGGTCGAGCGAGATTGCCGCAATTCAGAAGAAGATTCCCGGCTGACGAGGTCAATCTCGAACGTGCGAGCGCGATCACGATGTCGGGGCACGCGACCCGATCGGATTCGTACGATAATTAACGGCGGAAAGGTACTAATTAATATACTCACACGCATATTTTCGCGGACCGGCACGAAGGAGCGCGCGAACTTCATCACGAACGATGCGAAAGTGCGCCAGAGGGCAGCAGCATTCTAGATTGCGTTCGAAGTGTCACCTGGGATGACGCGCTCGATTGACCAATCAGGACGAAGATCCTCGAGCTCCGATTGGCGGACAAATTCTGCACCGACCAATCGGAGACTGAGGAGAGTCAGATGAATATATTCGAACACAATCTAAAATGCTACTCTCTGGTGCACTTTCGCATTGTTCGTGATTAATATTCGCGCGTTTATCATCGTCTCGAGTCTCGGTGAGTCGCTCGTCAATTTTTGTCCTTTTTAGAAATAATAATTCCGCGAAAATCCTCTCGATTTTGCCGAAAGACAGTCCCGTCCTTTTCGATTTTGCCTATACTTGATTTGTGTATTTTTCTGCACGAAACACGAATCTGTAATTAAAATTCCTCTCCTTCTTCTACAGAGAGAAGGGAGAAATCCCATGTAATTATTTCCTACTTAGGGGCGAGAATTTGAATTGACAAAACGTGTTTCACGCACAAAAATACGCAATATATCGTCTAGGTTTCGTGAAAATATAAAGGGAACGCGCCGCCGTTGAAACAAAATTTCATATGTGAAAGTTGGCAGCAGCGGGCGGAGGTCATCGTTCGTTCGGGCGGACCCACCGAGTCGGTCCGAGCGCGGCCGAGCGCTGCCGAGCGCGGCCGAGCGAACGGTAGGGAAGAGACGACGCGACACGACGGACGAGAGACGCGTTATAGCCAGCGACGTGGAGTGATCGCGCTTCGTCTCCGCGTCCGTTTCGATGCTCCCGACGATCCGTTACGGCATCCCACGTTTTTTTCGGCCGGCGTGCCAGCATCGTATTCTAGCCCGTAACGTGCGCGAGCAGCGTCCCGCCGTGCGCGATTGATCCTAAGAGAGGCAGCGTCTCTGTGCGGTGAGTTACGCCAAGTGGCGGCCTGACACATCGCGTTCTCTCGAGCGCGTCGAGTCGCCGCGCCGTGTGTCGCAAGTGAGTGAAGGAAAGGAGGAGAAGAGAGCGAGTGAGAGAGGAAACGGGCGGCGATACACGGACGTGTGTATATCTGTTCGTCGGGATCGCGGACGCACACACGCAGCATCCTGCGTATCGGATAAATAAAAACGCGGCCCAGCGTGAAAACCGGCGCGGCGTCCGCATAACGACGTTCATTCAAGAATGCATTAATTACGCGCGAGTCGAATACGTGTATGCGTGATTGGTGTGACGTGTGCGAGACGGGCGAGAATATTTGATAGGCACTCGATTAAAAAGGGGGGAAAGTGAAACAACGCGCCGAGCCGGAGGTTAACGGCGAGAATATTTCGAAGATGCTCAAGTTCATCAGGGGGAAGGGCCAGCAGCCCACGGCCGAGAGGCAGAAACTGCAGAAGGATCTCTTCGCTTTCAGAAAGGTAAGGAGGAAAAAGATGGAGCGACAGGTAGGAAAAAGGAGACATTCGCAACCTGATGAGAAGGTTTTCGCCCACACCCGATATATGCGAATGGGCGCGGGATGAATACCGATGGCGATGTTGCCAATTCAGGTTGATCAAAATCATTTCACTTCGGGTCATTCAGGACAAATTTTCAATGAATCATTCTTGAGATCATTCTGACCATTTTTTATGTCATTTTTGTTATTTAAAAATTATATTCAAAAATCCTATTCCGGTGATCAAAACAGGATGCGATATAACAACACGTGTCTAAAATATCGTATCTAGAATAGTTATCGTTTTTTTTTTCATTTATCTCTTAAAAATCTATTACTCTTTGAAATGAAGTAGAAAATCTTCCTTTGCTCTTTTATTATTATTATATTTTTTAGTAGTAATGAATTTAAAGTTGCGGCTTAGATTATAGTATATTATGTAAGGTTATATATTTTAGTTATAGTACATATAGCAAATAAAAAATAAAAATCTCTTAACTAGAAATAAATAATTTTTAAATGATTTTTTTAATGAAATGAAATGAAATGAATTTTTTTATGAATGATTCTAAACTATAGTATTTCATCCAAGCCTGACTTCAACACAATTTACATATGCATGCAATTTTATTGGAATATTATTAAATTTTATATTTTTGGTAAACAAGAAATGAAACATAAAAGCATATAATTTATATCATTATTTCTCAATGCAAAATCAAAAATTTATAAAAATGAAAAAACAAGATTACTCTCTCTCTCTATTTCGATTATTATTAATTATAAAGTCCATGATGCGCAAAAATTTTACATTTCTGGCAGCGAGTAGCTGGCAATGATGACCCTCAGACAGGTTTGAGCGATTCGTTTCGCCAGGAATATCAGGTTACGTCTGTACCAATAGTATCTTTTTATCGTTTGCCTGTATTCTGTTCTCTTTTTCTTTCCCTCTCTTTTATACACGTTATATGAAATTTATTTGTTCCTTCGCAACAATTTTGACAGCGTGTTAAAGCGCGAGAAAGATGCACTTGCGATGCTCATTTACTTTTCGTGATTGATTTATAACTCTATTAAAGCTTTACTTGGAACATTTTTGTGAATCTTTCAACACGAATTTACGAGTTTGTTTTTATTATTACACAGATTATCGTAACGATTTGTTATCAGTGATTATAATACTATTATTGTAACTGACTCAAAAGCATATGCATACATATATGAAATGTGCGCTACATTGTTAAAAAGTATGTATTAAATTACATAAATAATAAATGTAATTTTACATATTTTTATGTTATTTTTTATATTTTTTTAGTGTACATATATAAAAAGAAAAGCGGTCATAACTTTAAAAAATTTAGAGTTCTTTGTCAATAAGAATACAGACGATCAAGTTTATCATGCTATCAATCATGATTTATCAAAAATCTGGATTTGTCATTATTTATCGCAACATATTCGATATTTAAGTAATAAAATTTTTTGAAAACAATATATTCTTAAAAAACGAGAAATAATATATTATTTTTTTTTTTAAAGCTTCATTTATAAACTGTATTTTTCATTGCCTGATATTTCCAAATATTAATATTGATTTTAGAGCCGAATAACATCATACATAAAGATTTTTCCGCGAATTCTATTATTCTTTATTATTGTCACATAATGGGAATTTATTTCATATTACATTATACTGTTTAAAAAGAATCGTCACCGTAACAAATTACAGATTTAATTGAAATCTATTATTAATCAAATATCATCAAATCACTTATTTCTATCACATAATATGATACATATGGTATCAATATTTTAATTTTTTGGGAGGGAAAATACATTTACGTATGTAAAATATTTTTTACTTCGCGAAACACAAAATATTTAAATATTTAAATTAATAATACTATATTATTATTATTTATGCGCGTGCGTTTATACTGTACAAAATAATTCTACTTCGCAGTACATGATAAGATTTATCTACATATCTCTCATTTTGTACTTTATTTATATATATATATATATATATATATATATATGTGTGTGTGTGCATCCCGTTATCTGTATGGGCTTGCCGAAAGTCGAAAGTAGAGGAAAACTGAGAATATATCTTGTCTCATTTTTTATGCCCTCGATTATCTTGTCGAGATAAATGAGCATTCGAACGAACCGAATTTTTGTGAAATGTCGATTGGTACGCAAGAGTATTGTATCGATGTATTTGCTGAAATGTTACTCGATAAAACTGTCAATCATGTGTAAAAATATTTGCACTTAACAGACGTACTGGTTCGTTAATTTACGTTATTTATCCGCGGCTCGATTCCGTTCGAATATTTGCATCGATCGTTCATGAATGTAAATGTTCAGCAGTTAAGTTCAGTAGTTTTAAAACTGTCGATATTATCTGATAGTATCAGAATGTGTTTGCTTACTTCAGAAATACCACAAATTTTATACAAGAAAAGAATGTGATTCAAAAAATATATCGAAGAAAACTGGCAAAATGAATTGAAAATTTAGACAAATTAACTTCTTAAACATATTATTATTGTTACAATAAAATAATTTTGTTATACATTTTTTTTAATTTAAAAATTAAGAAAGTTAAGAAAACTATAAAAATATGAAATAACTGTATGTATCAAAAATTTCAATTGTTGCAAAAAACGAAGCTCATTCAAAAATTGATTGATTTTGTAACGGAATTTTCAATAATGAGTTTTACTTCATTGTCAGTACTGTACACTTTTTTGTATATGTTTCAATGGGTAACAGGTGAGTGTTTCATAATCACTTTTCTCCTCTATAATTACTATACTTCTCTCGGGAGATGTGGTCGCGTCTTAAGACCATTAAATTTCGACTGACAAGGTCAATTTTATATCAGAAACAGTTAAAAGATCTTCCTTTTTTAGCAGAACGATGTATCTATAAGACAGCCCCATCTTATGTTCATTATATTATACATATAAATTAAAAGCAGATAGTATATGTATATATCTTAAAATACATATCTTATTTCTAAAAATAAAACTGACATAATGACGTAACATATAGAAACAAGAAACAACTTCATCATAGAAACTATTCTAAGAATCAGAATATTAAATATAATTTTTTTAAGGAAAACATTAGGAGTAATCTCTTACGTTGTCATTACAGCAAAAGATAATGATTGAGTGACAATTTCTAAATATTTTTGTAAACACAAGAATTTTCAAATCAGATTGCAGTTTTATGAAAAATAAAAAATCTTCAAGATATAGCTGTTATATATTGCAATCTTAAGTCGAAATCTATTTTCGAGTAATTGTTAACATCGTTATTAAAATTATTTTAATGAAAAACAAAATTTCAGCAACAGGATTAATAAAATTTGAAATTCCTCGGTTTGAAAGGAATAGTTTCCACCACATATCTCGGATAAGATACTTTATAGGAACGACAAAAGAATGGTCATTAGTCGGCGTTAGGTAATGATGAAACGAATAGCATTCGGCTGACAAATAATGGCTAAAGTGTTGTGCAATCGTGGTTTCTGTTAAACTAGTTTTTTTGTGCTATACTCTATTAGATGCAAAATCAAATATTTAGTAAGACGAACGTCATTTTATTTCGTGTACGAAAACTCGTGGTATATGTATTAGATAAATTCCTGTGCCTGTGCAATCTACAGGAAATGTCGAATCCTCTTATCAATCACACAAGCGAGTGAAAACGACTTTCAAGTGAATTACACGAAATCAACAAGTCAATATTGCACCTCCAATGGAAAGAGAGCAAAATGTTTATCTTTAAAATCATCATTATTAGTTAGAAGTCTCGATTACATACAGTACTTAAAAATTTATTAATGTATTATACAAAACAAATACCAATATTTAATTATATCGATAATAAGTACATTAGATATATCATTAGATTAGACATTAGAATACTAGACATATTATTAGTTGCATTGTTCATTGATAATAAAAACTAAAAATGAAATTATTTTTAAACTATCCACATTATATAATAATTTGTTGATATAGATGAGAGAAAAATTAATGAAGTTTTTTTAGTAATAAGAATTTAATAAAAGATTAAATTATTTATAATTGAAATTTTTAGAAAATTATTTTATCTCAGAATTAAATTATTGATGCCACTTATAAAATACATGTAACACTTTTAGTATATTTTGAAACGAATGGAAAAAGAAAGAGAGAGAGAGTGTGCATCAATACCTTTATTATAATAATCTCAACTTATATTACTTCAACACATCTCTGTCTGACGTGTGGTGACGTTGCAATGTATTATCGCGAAACCCTATCGCGATTTAATTCCCTGTGCTGTGGATTCTCGAAGAACTTCTATGAAGAGAAAATGTTCGAGTAGAAATTCAAATCGCAATAATGATGATAGACACAATTTGGCATTCGTCATTATTTTTTCGCATATAATCGTGAAACAGATGTTTTACATCTTTATCATAATAAAATATTTTTTAGAAATTTTTTTCTATTGATTTCCTTATTTTATGCATTATCATATTTTTCAACTTTAATAAGCCAAATTTTGATTTATTTGGAGTGTTGATTACAATTATTATAATTTTTTTTTGTAAATATTAATGAAGATAATCAGATATTTTAGAAAACCTTCTTTATTTCTATTAATAAAATACCATATTTTGCTTTTTCAGTAATTCTTTATCAATTTATTTAGTAATCTTTTTAAAATTGTTATAATTGTAGAAACTTTTTTTACATTTGACAATTAAATATAGCGATATATTATTGCTTATAATTTTATCGCTACATTGACAAAAGAAATATTTCCAAAGTTTTAATCGATTATATATCAATCAGTCAATTAAACAATTTGATGTGAAGTTTTGTAGTATTCAATATATCTTACGTGTTTCTCGATAACCACTCTAAACAAGAATTTTCGATATATCTCATATAAAGCAGATAAGCAATGATTACATCGGTGCATCACGTGTAAACAAAATATGATAAAACTGTTGAATCTTTCTTTTTGTATTTACTTGGGTGTGCATTTATAACTGTACCATTGAGTCGATAGTTTATTTGTCATATAAAGCCGACGTGTGAAAGCATCTTAGTCATTTGATTTAAAATAAATAATAATTTGTAAATATAAGAGATTTAGAAGTTTCTTTCTAATTCGCACAAAATATAAGAATTTTTTGATTGTTGAAATTCGACATAAATGCATTCTTGCATCTTTTCAATAATAGAAATTTGACGGTTCAATGGACCCGCAAAACAAATACAGTTCAATTATCTTGATATTTGTCTGAACGATTTGTTCTTGGTATGCAGATGACTCGAATAGCTCGTAAAATAGCGATGCAAATAGTGTCCATTCATTGGTTTACGCTTGTGCTATTTGAGGAGGGAAAAAGAGGAGAGAAACTAGCGTAAAAAGTGCAGGTAAAAAGAAGAGATCTCATACCTAGCGAACGAGAAGTATTCGCCAACAGTATTTGCGTGTCGCAAACGTAGTGATCGAGAATCGTATCCTTATTCTGCACTGAAATTCGTAAACAACTTGTCAATATTTCGCAACCGGTACAAAGTCGTTCCTGCATCTCCACTTTGAAATGCGAGAGAAACTCTTTTTAATTTTTATATCTCGAAGAAATAAAAATACATTTGCAGTGATACAAATCTAATTTGATTTTCAGCAGTTTTTTTTAATAAAAAAAAGAAATATTTAAATTGTCGCAGTGAAGTTTTTGGATTAATTATTTTGAAATAGTTTATGAAATAAATTGTAAAAATATTTATTTCATATATTTTTTCTCAAAATGAAGTTTTCTTAACATATTCTTTTTCAATGTTTGCGAGTTTTATTGTGGATTTAGCTTGAAAGAGACAAGAAGAGACACGCGCCTCTTTGTTGTACAGACGAGTAACTAGCAACGTCTCGTCTTAACTCTCGTTAAGACGTATCTCTCATATAAGAGTGTCTATAGTACAACTTGCAGGTAGTGACACCTTTTCTCATGGAAATGGTTCTCGTGTGAAGGTCTCCCAGAGAACCACCGGTTTTTCTAATCACGACAAGTATTTTAATAAGTGTGAATAAATTGTACACTGTAAAAAAAATTATTGAATTTGATTAAATATTTATTTCAATACTGTTGAATAAATCATTTATTTGAAACTAATACTATAGATTTGATGTGAAAAATATTTATTTAATATAAGAAAATTCTTTTTAAAACAGGTAAATATTTATTTGTTTCAAATAAATAATTGATTAGACAGTATTAAAATAAATCTTTATTAATTTAATAATTTTTGTTTAGTGCATATATTCCTCAAATGAATGTAATAATAAATATATAAGTTTTTTTTAAATTACTAAGAGTCTAAATATAGAAAGTTTATATATATATTTAATTAATAATTATTTAAGATTTAAGTGCGTAATAAAGTTTGTTAATTACATTCCAGAAATTAATTCACGGAAAGTCATATCTTGCGTGATTGAACTGTCATTGCTTATGGTTATTAGTTGTGGTATAATTATTAAAATATTCCGAATTGCAATATTTTTCTTTTTTATGGGAAATTTTCTGCATTAATATAGCATATTAACACTAATTAATGATTTCAAGTAAAGTTATTGTTTAAATAGTTAAGAATTCTAAGGAAAATTTCAAATTTCAAAAAATAAAATCCTGAGAAAAATCTTAAAATCATTAAGTTTTAAAATAGCGGGAATTCTTGATATATACACTTAGCGTATCTCTATAAAGATTTCGGCGAAAACGTATTAAGAATATTTATGGCTCCAAGACGTTTGTATACCCGATGAGAATCGGGAGATATAATTGGCCGTGGGAAGGGACAGAAATAAATGAATCCGCGTGAGTTTGCGGTCATCGCGTAACAACAATATTTTATTGGCATATGTTCGAGCGGAGCGTTATTAACTGCTGGTTGCTTTTTGAAGGCACGTTCACCACATTATATGCTGACGTACGCATACACGATAAGCCACACTCGATTAACGGGTACTGTCAAAATCTGACTCATCGCGAGAGAATCGTGCTAATTCCGCCACGAACTTTCGCCTAAATCAATTCTAGTACCGTTTTATACTAGTCGTTTCACGATCCTTAACGCCGTTCGTAATTACATCCTGAGGGAATTAAATAGTAAAATGTAGATGGGGAAATGTGTAACGTGGAATTATTCGTGGAATTTTAGGAGAAACCGAGACTTCCGAAGAACGCGTGGTAATATGATAAGGAACGTTAATTGGGAAATTGAGTTGAATATGGAAAGTGGTTATTTATTTTTTGAAACATGTTTTTTTTTATTTATGAAACACATTGGAAAAAAATAAGTAATTGTCATACTACGATACTTTTCAACATTGCAATGAATATTTATTTTCTAATGCTTTCATAATATGAATGAATGTGTAGTTTTGATTTTTATTATTTTTATACTGATTATTATATGTGTTTAGTATTGAGAAATACAATACAGCGCTTTCAACTAAATAATATTTTGTTAATTGAATATATTAAAATATTTTAATTAAATATAACATGTTAAATCTAAGAAAACATACATTTGACTTAAATATTAATATGCATATATTCAATTAACAAAATAGTAATTTAATTGAAAAGCTTAGACAACAATTTTTTGTATATAATATTTAAAAGTTAACGAGAAGTTTTTTTAATCAAGTCTAACAATAAGTATACAAATATCATGTTAAAAATGACGAAATTGCTCTGATCTCAATTAGTATAAGAAGTGCCATAATTACAATCTTTGACGTAAACAAAAATCAGAAATGTACAACATTAAAAAATTAAACGAAAATTAATTATTGCTATTATTCTTGTTTGTTACAGACGGTGCAGCATGGTTTTCCGAACAAACCGACCGCTCTTGCTTGGGATCCGAGTCTGCGAGTGATGATCATTGGCACGGCATCCGGCGCCATCAAGGTGTATCCTTTTCTTTTGCTTTTGTTGAGCTCCTTGCCTTTGTATCTATCCTCACTTTCTTTTCGTTTCATATTTATAATCTGATCTGGAGGACAACCATATACTCTTACAGCTCGAGGTCTGTATTAAAATTTATTAATTCTTTATTCCTTAGAAAAAAGAAAATGAGAGGTTTTGATTATTAAATAATATGTACATTGTATATATATCGTAATATCGATATAAATAATTATCGTGATGTCATAAAAATTGTTTAGCTTTTAATATATTTTACGACTTTTTTATTGCTGCAGTAGGAAAATCCGTTTCGTAATGCCTTGAGAGCAATTGCTTAACAACGACTCCATAAATTAGTTGTGATTTATTTTACAAACTCGCACATTGATCAGAACATGACATTATTTGACAAATATTTAATCACTGTTAGAATATATGAACACGTACGATATAGTATGTTTATACATATTTAGCAATTATGCAAATATTATGCGAATACAGTTGCTTTTAGTTGAAAGATTCGATGTAAGAGCATTTTCCCAATTTAATTTTTTTACAAGATTTTTTTAGAAGATTAAGTCTTTATTTTTTAAGTTTAATTTGGATTCTTGCAAAACAATGAGTCAGATTACTGTCGCATTGATCTATTCAATTAAGAATAAACTGTATTTGCATAATGCAAGATTCAATCGAAACATCGATTGTTTACGAAAGTATCTATGTAGTCAACATTTGATTGAAATGTTCCACTGCGAAGAACTGCATTGACCAGTTTTATTACATGCTTACTTCAGGGACACGATATTTCGTAATTGTTTTACATTAAGAAAGTCGCCAATCGTGCACTTGATGAAAGATTGAAGCTTTGGTTGACAAAATCATGAAAAAAAAGGTCAGCGCGAATTCTGTTTTGTAATACTTTGGTGCTCTCGTTTTCCGACCTTGTATTATCGTCATTTACCTATACACGTGTATGTGGGGATTATCGATCCAACAAAAAGCCCATTTACAATATTAACCGGAAATTGCCTCGCGCCACACCGTAGTTCAAATTTATCGCAAATGCAAATTTGCATCTTTGCGACATAATATAAATGTAAATATGAATGAGTACATATCCAAACGTAATATAGATATTGATGTCGTTTGTCTGAATTAAATTCATCGTACTGAATAATATATAACCTTTTTTTGGTTCTTATAGAAAAAGATATATCCGATTTTCGTCAATAATTTCACGTTGAATTTATTTTTTTAATTTCTTTTTCATCAATTGTGTATAGTTTTTTTTTATTAATTGTAAGTCAAGAAATTCTATATTTTAACCAAATTTAAGGGAATATATATTTATATATCATATATATGAACAGAGTGTAAGTTCTTTTGTGCAATGGTCTTTAATACTATATAATATTTTCGATAATATACGGTATAAATTTCTTGTTTCAGAAAAATAATTTTTTAAAGATTTATATGTATATTATAGTAACATTCGAAAGTTATAAACTATAATTAAGTTTACTAAACGTAAGAATGATCTGAAAAATTTGATCAATTCACGGAAATTTGTACGCTTTTTCCTGTTTTCGTGAATGCTATATTAAATGGAATGTTAGATGTGTCGAAATGCAATCAACACGTCGACAATTTAATGTCTGTTTAATATTGTGCGCGCACAGTCGGCAGATGCTTCCAAGGACTACGTAATCGCCAGATAATCGTTATTTCGCAATAGATATATGTATGTACGATTATCTCTCTGTACGGCACACCTCGCATCGAGGAAACCTTTGGATACGCATACAACTGCGATACGCGATATCGTGTTTTAATCTGACATAAAAGCGTACGCGCTATATTTGAACCTAATCGCGCACTTCTTAAACTTTTCCCGTAGCTTGAAGCAACTTGAACGACGACTTTATCTTCTTTCCGTTTTTAGACACGATGAGTTTCTATTGAATCAGCACCTAGTCTACAAACATATGGCTATATAATGGAGTAAAATGGATTTAAAAACTGGCACGAAATAGTTTTAGTTAGTATAAAAAGTGTTTTAATTAGAATAAAAACGAGCAAATATTATTTATAAGTTACACCAGTTTTTGCGGTCGCAGAAAATATTGATCGAAAGTAAAAAGTAGGTGACGTCTTGGTGCTAAATAAAATGCTGCGCAATGTTAGAATGTTAAATTTAGCAGCGAAAAATTTCTTATTTAAGTAACAAATATTTCAGAAAAATTAGGATTAGGAAAAGAATTTCGCGTTAAAATTTTATTAAATCATGTTAAGTTATCGAAAATTTAAATCGTACATTTTTTATTATAAATATGAAGTTTAAGATCAAATACAATACGAAGATATAAGTTGATGATTTTAGGTAAATTAATAATTCGATAACATGGTTGTAATTTGAAAGATTTGGATAAAAAATGGTTTATCTAAAATCATATTTAAAAATTATTTATATTTAAAAATTAGAAAATTAGAAAATTTTTACTGAATTTTAAAATATACATTTTTTTTTATTAATTTTCTTTAAAAACATATAAAATTGTCCGATTAAATTTGTCAAAAAAATTGATCTTAAAGATGCAGAAATGACATCTAGTAAATTTTCTTTTAAAGTCGTTCAAAATATAGTTTGCGATTATGCAAATATGCGTTATCATTGTCAGCTAGATGACATAATAATTTTGTCCCATTCATCATGAAATATGTTGCAGAATTCGCAAAGTATACACTCGCATATATTCAGCAATTGTGTAATTCCCACTGTGTCATCACATTAAATCAATCATTCTTGAATTAGGAGTCCAAGTTTCATCTCACGTGTGTCACTTTCTGCGTCAGCATTTTACATGTTTATACAATATTATATAATCTTTTCTTTTAAATTCCTTAACTCGATCATCAGTTTTGGGAGGCCAGGCGTAGAATTTTACGGGCAACATACCGTCGACAGTGGTGAGAATGCCGTCACAAAGATCGTCCCACTGCCGAAAGAGGTAATTGATGTGTTAATTATACATATTTACATTATTATCCTAAATTCACACTCATAATAAAAGTACTTTGGACTGTTTCTATTGAAAAAAATGTGTTTTCTGAAATGTAATTTTATGTAGAACCATTACTTATATTTAAGATATATTATATTGATTTCAATATTTTTCTCAAAAAATCTTAATTTATATTAATCTTGGAAATTTCTATATCACAATAAATACCATTCTTTTTTTTATCTAGGAATAAGTAATCTAAATGATTTGATTTAAAAATGACTAAAGATAACAAAATCGTATTTGTTAAACAGTTTTTTCCAATTCTATTTTTATTTACATACGTTATTTCGTATATGTTATATATTTAATTCTATTTTTATATTGTACAATTTTTGTTTTTACATTTATATTTAATCTATTTCATTTATATTTAATCTATTTTATGCTCGTGTATGTGTCCTTCAATTTACGTGGAAAATTATCAAAGTGCTAATTTATGAAATTCTGTAACATATCACACCGATAATATAATGCGACACCATGTTTCGCTTATACGGCAACCACTGATTGCATAATCCTGACACCACGTACAATGTGCCTGTGCACGCATGTACGGATAAGTAATACACGAGTGCAACGACATTACAATGATGCATCGCAATTAATGCCGCAGTGTAAAACGTATAGGGGCGATATATAAGGAAAAAAACTTTGTGTACACATATGCATCCCTGAATATTTAATTATATTCTCAATATACAAATGTTTATCTGAACTTGTACATAATACTGACGTGACGACAAATATTTAATAGATGTGTAGCACATACAGTGGATTTTTGTATAATTAATAGATATAAAAATTTCTGACGTATCGATCATATGATTTAATATTTATACCAAAATATATTTTTAAATAGAGAACTCGTAAGATTAATTGTATTATAATTATAACTTGAGTATATTGTTACAAATATACATTTATATAGAGACTAAACTTTTTTTAGAGATTATATGTTAATAATAGTAATCATAATTAATATCAATATATTAATGAATTGTTATAAAAATTGAGTACTACATAAAGCATAAATATTAAAAGTAGTTATGAAAATTTTTATGAATCCAAAAGTTCTTAAAATTTGTCTAAAGTTGACAATTTATTGAAAACTTATATTTTTCATATATTTAAACCAGGTGTGGCCTGTTAATTGAATCGCGTCCATATGATTGCACAACGATACAAGTCCGTTATCACGATAAACAGTTTCAAGCAAATCTTGAAACTGATAAGATAGACGTGTACTCTATGATAAAGATCTCTAACATTAACTTTCATTAAAATTTAGATTTATTTTAATTGCAAATTTTTTAAATTAAAGTGTTACGCATAATACATTTAATAGCAATACTTATTGATTAAAAGGAATATAGGAGATGACTCGTAAGAAGTCAAGAAATTGCGCAAGCATTTCATGTAATAATGATAGGAGAGAGTAACTATTAAAATATTTACTACATACAATAATAATGATACAAACAGCGATCATTAATGTTTACTACGAAACGTGTTATTATACTTACATGCGCTATTATTAACTACTATATCAGATATGCGAGCTGACTTTCTAAAACGAGATGAAAACTGTTATTAAAATTTTTTGTCGAATAAAATATTAAGTAATAAAATAAATAATATAAAAATAAGATACATAGAAAAAATTTTTTTATGTATGGGGAAAAAAATATTTATCATTCTAGCTCCAATAATCTTGACTTTGAAGTATATATGTACAAGTGAAGTGAATATTGATTGATTTTGACATTTCAATTTATGCTCACACACGATATTTTTTTTAATATAATATAAACGATACGTTTTTTAAAATAATATGTTATGATAGGTTAATATGCCATATATTACAGGGTCGCCTCGTGTCCTTGTGCGATGACAATTCGTTACATTTATGGGAAATCAATGAATGTTCTATAGTGGAAACGAAATCATTGGAGGGTAATATGAAGAAAATATCCGCGATATGTCTCGAATCGAGTGGAAAACATCTTTTGTTGGGAACAGAGGCGGGCAACATCTATTTGCTAAATTATGAGACTTTTGTCATGTCGGACAATATTATCTATCAAGAAGTTGTGATGCAAAAGTAAGTGATTAGATTAGAAGTTACCTTTATTATTTTCTCATTTGACCTGAATTTTTATTATTTTATCTTTATATTTCGAACTAAATATGCCAACAAAATCATGTAGAGAACTTTATCTGTCATAATAAAAATTTTTATTGTCGCATTCTGTACAGGATAAAAATAATTAAAGTGAATTACAAAGTTGTTTTAATTTGATTGTTTTTATTAAAAGACATAATGGCCTAAAAACTTTAAAAGAAACTACAAAATATTAATAAAAAAAAATATATTATAATTATTTTAATAGATTATGTTAATGTGTGTATACACACATTCTTTCATTTTTTTCATAAATTATCTGCGACAAAAAATAATTATGTTATAAAAGTTATTAAACTACCTTTATCATATAGTGTTCCAGAAGATTACAAAAAAAATCCAGGAGCAGTTGAAGCTATAGCCGAGCAACCAGGACATCCAGACAATATTCTAATTGGTTACAATCGAGGTTTGATGGTGCTATGGAACAAAGCTACTCCGGGAGCCCAACAGGTAAGTGTTGTTTATGTCTTTACGTATACACGATTACACTGGCAAATGCAACATTCGCACGCTTACACGCTTTTCTCAAATCAACACACTGTGGATCAATGTTTAATCCTGCTAGCCCGTTCGTTTCCGATATATATTTAATTTGAATTTAAATGGATCTTTATATTAATGTGAGATTATCTCTATTTTAATATAATCTTATTGTTGAATATATTTAAAAAAAATTTTTATAACTACGTCTTTTAAAGTGGAAAATTAATGAATTTATAAAATTTAAAAGTATTATATAAGAAAGTATTATATAAGAAAAATATAAAAAGATTATACTACAATATTAAATCTTGTGCATTTTTTAAAATATATCTTTTTCTTGAATATATTTTATTCAAGAAGATCTTATTGCCTTTTATTTATCTAATTAGAAAGTAAGAGAAAAAGTAGAAATATTGAATTTTAATTTCATAATAATTCTTTTATCTTACTAAAACCGCAAAGTTTTTTATTGCATCTTAAAAGGCGAAAATTAATGGAATCGAATGGGGAACAGGAGAGTTAAAAACGGATTGTGACATGGTATCGCTCGTTCTGATTGTCGTTTGTGTCTTTGGTGGTCTTTGGTGGAACGCGCAGCTGATGGGTTTGTTTTCGCGTGCGCAGACATTCGTCTCCACGCAACAGCTGGAATCGGTCCACTGGATCTCCGAGAATCGCTTCGTCTCGTCGCACAATGATGGTTCGTACGCGTTTTGGAGCCCGGGTAGCGACGCCGTGCCGGAGCCCACGACACTTTACGGCCCGTTCCCGTGCAAGGCCGTCACCAAGATCCTCGTATATCCTACTATTGAGTAAGTCATTTAGCTAATCGTTAAATGATACATCTTTTCATGTGAAGTCGATTAAGTTTTGCATTTTTGTGTAGACACGGCGAGATCGTCCTATTCTCCGGTGGTATGCAACGTGCCAGTTACGGAGACCGACACACAATCACCGTCATGACCAAGGATAAACACTTGGTTTTCGATTTCACGTCTAAAATCATCGACTTTTTTACCGTTTTCGCTGAGGAAGAAGAAGGAGGAAATAATGAATGCCCTGTTAATCCAGAAGCGCTCATAGTGCTAGCTGAAGAAGAAGTAGTAGCTATCGATTTAACCAATCCCGAATGGAAGATGATGCCTCTGCCTTATTTAGTATCTCTCCATGCGAGTGCGGTGAGTATCCTTAAAAAAGAAATAAATAAGAGAAAACGAAATCGCGCTATAATAGATGCAAAGATACAAACAACTCTTGTACATCGCAGGTGACCTGTTCCCAACACGTGCCGAATGTACCCGACGAACTTTGGGAGGCAATTGTAGCTGCGGGTAAAGCACAAACGGAGCATCTTTACTCGGACAAAGTGTGGCCGATCAACGGAGGAAATTTCCTCTGTCCGATAAATCTTAATAAGTCTAAGAGCAGAGAACTACTGCTTACTGGGCACGAGGACGGTACCGTGAGATTCTGGAATGCGTCCGACGTTTCTCTGACTCCACTGTACAAGTACAATTCGTCGATTCTGTTCACCGGCGAGCACTTGGATGTTCTCGAGCAGCCGCCGGAGGACGACGAGGACGAGTGGCCACCGTTCAAGAAGGTGGGAATCTTCGATCCATACTCTGATGATCCGCGACTCGCCGTGAAGAAGGTCCTCCTTTGTCCATTGTCCTCGACCTTGGTGGTTGCGGGTACGGCCGGCCATGTTATCACCGCCACCATCTCCTCGGAAGCAGTCAACAAGGAGATAAAAGCCGTCACAATGAACATCGTCAACGATCGTGATGGATTTGTGTGGAAAGGTCACGATCATCTACCACCGAGAACGACGAGTATATCATTCGCGGTCGGATTTCAACCACAGAGTCTTCTTCAGTTGTATCCACCGGCCGCCATCACGGCTTTGGCGTTGCACAGCGAGTGGGGTCTGCTTGCCACAGGCACAGCGCACGGTCTTGCGGTCTTTGATTATACTAGAGCGAAAGCCGTCAGTGTCAAATGCACGCTTAATCCAAATGGTAAATAATATTAAGATAATATGAAGTTGTATTTCTGCTTTTCCTTGCTCTTTTTTAATATTAATGTTGGAAATAACTATTTGCTATCTTAATATTTTACAGATCTCTCCGGTGCAGGCGATACTCCTATCTCTCGGCGAAAGTCATTTAAGAAATCTCTTAGGGAATCTTTCAGAAGATTGAGAAAAGGACGCTCGCAACGTCGGGCAAACGCGAACAGTCCTACACGAAATACTGCGCCTGAAAAGAAAAAAGAAAGGTAAGTTTAATCATTAATTCCGCGAATGCATAAGGAAAACAAATATATAAATATTACCATTTACTTACAGTGTTGCTTCTTCTCCGAGCGGGGATTTATCACCGGCGGTGGAAATAAAACCAGTAGAGAGACAAGTGGAAGCAAGACCCGTTGACGACGCTTTAGGCTCTATGGTTCGATGCCTATATTTTGCCAGAAGTTACATTATTAGCTGTTAGTATCTTTCCTATTTCTTAATATAATATTCACTACAATGATAAAAAAATAATTCGATACATTTATTTTGCGCAGTACAAAATACAACACCTACACTTTGGGCGGGCACGAATAACGGTACAGTTTACGTTTTCACGTTGGCTATACCAGCCGGTGTGAGAAGAACGGAAGAGGACGTTAACTGTACATTGGGTAAGGAGATACAATTGAAGCATCGTGCGCCCGTAATCGCGATCACGATCCTCGACGGATCCAGTGTGCCGTTACCGGAATCTTACGAGGCCGAGAAGGGCGTGATGCCTGGACCCGATATGACTTCCCCACATAGAGTTGTAATCGCCAGCGAGGAACAATTCAAGATCTTTAATCTTCCGTCCCTGAAGCCACACTGCAAATACAAGTTGACTGCGCACGAGGGATCTAGAGTACGAAAAACAGGTTTCGCCAAGTTCTCGTGTCCTGTCGAACCAGCGGGAATTCACGAAGAAACTTGCTTACTTTGTTTAACGAATCTTGGCGATTGTCTTGTGCTTAGTATACCGGAACTGAGGAGACAATTGAACGCCGCTGCGATCAAGAGAGAGGACATTAAGTGAGTAGCTTGTATTTATATTATGTTTCCACTGACTAATATGTAATTTGCAAATAACATATTTTTTTCTTTTAGCGGTATTTCTTCCTTAATATTTACGAAAGCCGGAGAAGCGTTGTATCTTCATTCGAGTTCGGAGCTCCAACGAATTTCCCTGTCAGCCGGGAAAGTAACGAAAGCGCAATGCGTGCTCAATTTACCACCACGTGCTAGATCGTTGACAGAAAGGCCAGAAAACGTTAACGAAGTCGCGCAGGAGCAAGGAGTCGTCGAAGGAGCGCCTGAAACCGAAGGGGAAACGCAAGAGAGTCAACCACCAACAGCGAACCGAGTTATCACGGAAAATGGAATAGTGGGTTCCAGTGAGTATGCTGATATCTATTTAGAATTCTTATATATTCTTCATAAATAGTCTAAAGAGATAAATTATATTTTTTTAAATTAATATTCTTTATACACACCGCAATAGAATACATATCTCACCGGCTTTTGTGTAAACGCTAAAATGTGTAACCCTGCTTGGCCATACTTTGTATAACCAGCCGCATATATTTGTGCGTTTGTCCATGTTTTAGCCTTATAATCATAACAGAACCATTGATCGAATTTGCTATTTGTGTTAATTAACGAGACATTAGGGAATGTCGTTATTCGTAATAGTGCCATTTAGTGTCGATGTGAACGCATGTCTTTTAGCTGGGGAAGAAGAATCTCCGAAGGAACCGTCGCTGCGACCGGCTACGAGTAGTATAGATGTAAATGGGGAAGACGATCGTCAGGATTTAAGTTCTATCGGAGACATTACAATCGACAGTGTTAAAGATCATTTACTGTAAGTTTAGTTGATATTTTCCGACATTTTATTTATCATTTGCTTATGTGCGCAGTAAAATATTTTTTTCGAATTTTAAGTTTGTTTTTCTAATTTTAATGTCACTTTTATATATATACATATTAATTTGTACATACCAACATATTGCATAGCTCGATAGTTTCTTTCATCGCCGTATAAATTAATGCGTGTTTGATGTACTTGCCATTTTTGGCAGTAACAGTTCACTTTTCAGAAACGCAACGTCTTCCGAAGATCTGCATAATCGTTTGGCAGGGCTTAAGATGGAGGTCACTTCGCGAACTTCCGAGGTATCTACGCAGAATCAATCATTAGTGGTGAAAACTACAACTGTGGTTACTCAAACTACAAATAGCACGACTGCTAATGGTGAAGTTGAGACGAGTCAAGCTAATGAAACGCAACACGTAAACAGTAAGTTTAAGATATTGCAATCTATATGATCATATCTTAATCATCTGATTATTAGACTGCATCGACGATTCATAAAAAAGATTTTTAGTATGTAATAGCTTGTTATAAATGGTTTTTTGCACGATTATTAAGTATTTTCTAAGTTGTTATGCACAAAGTGCCGCACTAATCTTATGCAAAATAGATTTTAGTTAAATCAGCTGGTTTTCTTATATATTGTAACTTATGATCTACTGACTAAAAAATGTAATAGGCTCAAAGCTATATAATAGACAATTTGATTTGCAATCAGTTAAACATTAAAAATTAGAGTTTTTCGAGTTGTTTGACTGGTAACTTAATAATTGTTTATTCTTTAGCTTTGAAGCTGTTGCATTTTTTGTTCAGCAGGTTATAAGCTATAACATATGAATAAACCAGCTGATTTAAATGAGATCCATTTCGCATAAGATTAATGTGGAGTACTTTTACTGATTTTCCAGATTCGACACAATTCGACGGATTACGAAAATTCACACATTACATTATATAATTACTCTAATTAATTATGTTTGTTTTTGTCTTTCAACGCTTCGATGATTTTTGTTTCGTTCTTTCTACTTCTATGTTGTTATGTTTATATTATTTTTTATTATCGTTTTGTTTGTGGCATTTGTTTTATTGCGCAGGCACTACCGTAGAACGAGAGATACGCAGCGGTATCGAGACAACAACAACACACGCAACCATCACTCTACCCCCGAACGTCGAGGTCAGCAAACGGCACTAAATATTATGATTAATTGGTGTCGGCCGTTGCCTCGATATTAATCTCTTGTTGATGCTTCAGCATCTAGTTGTGTGCCATTAACAAATTGATTTCTCGCTATTAATTGCACCAGCTTTTAATTCGTTTGAGATTTTGTTGATTCATTCCCCCGCTACTCTTTCTCTGTTTCTCATCTTATGCGATATTCATTGACAAACTGACTAACAACACTAAAGTAGATATCAAGTTTATAATTATTAACTTTTATTGCTTTTTTATTATATAAGATGTATATAAATACACAATATATTTCTATATATGTATAATATATATAAAGAAATAACTAAATATTTTAATATCGCAGATTAATGCTGCGGATCTGGCCAACTTGGAAGTCACCACAACTACAGTGACCACTACTACAGAGAGGGCCAAGGCGCCGCTAGCTAGGCCAGAGGAAGTCGGTTCGTAGGCCTGTTCCATATCCATTTCTCCTACACGCTGACCATGCATCGATTTCACGCTCCGTTTACAGAGCCATCAGTAATTGGTTATTCTTATCTAACCAACGTGTATACAGCGGCAAATATAGATAGGATTTATATATCATATATATAGATTTTTTTAAAAAGTCTAGATTTCTACGCAGCATTTTTACGTAGCGTTTAATCACGCGCGAATGACGAGTGGTTAAGTTTTAATATAAACTTTATGCATTTCTCATTGACATCCATCATTGCATTCTACTTACAGTAAATTCCAAATGAATAATTTTTGGAATTGGCGAAGAATCAATGATTTTTAACGAAAATAGGCCTAGAAACTGTTTTATTTATCTTATGATATAGAAATTCTCGCTATGTTTTCTTTTAGATAAGAAATTTTAACATTTTAATTATTAATCAAGAGCTCGAGATAAGGAAGTTTCTTGCGGACAAAAGAGATATCAAAACATTAAATTTTACAAATAAACTTAGAAGATTTTTATTATAAGAATTATATCGTTTTATACGGCCAATTTTACTGTTCTTTAATTTAGCGATAAATCTGGTGCATCTACAATCGATCTACAATTATACTAACGCATATGATCAGTATAATTATAGATCTTTGAAAACAAGATCATAATTTATCGAGAGATAGTGACGACAATGATGAAACATCACAAATCGTGAATTTTTATGGCAGCCTTAAATTTACTCTTTATACGTTACTATATATATTTCTAATTATATAAAATCACACGCGACTTAAGCTATAGTATTTGAAGTATTTTGGACATCTTGTGAATTTTTCACAAGAGCAGAAAGTATGTAACTTGCGGTGCGCATATAAAAATGCTTCAACAAGGGAAATATATACAGCTATACTTAAGTAGAATTATATATTTGACGAACAATTAAGAAAATTAAGCATGATAAATTTCGGACGAAATGTCTGTCGATGAGAGAACGCGTTAAAAATATATTTTTTATCGATGTTGCTTAATCGTTATGTTTCCCCTCTCTTCGTTTTACCGAGGAGTATGTAATCGAATTCTCGAATACTCGAGAACGCTTAACATGCATACTATGATTACCGATATAGTTACTTTACTGTTGCATTTATTCAGTCTTTTTTCTTCTGTTAGGCAGAATAATTGCATGGATAAGTCTTTAGTGATGAATAATTGCTAGAAAGTGCGTTTCTGTCCTGCGTTACTTTATGAATTCTTACAAAGATACTATATATATATCTTTTTATATCGATATATTTCATAGCTTGTTACAATGCAGGGAAGCACCAATTATATTAAACATATTATAATTTTGATCTCAATAGATTTGTCATGGGAATAGTATAATTTACCGCTATATCTGAAAACTGCATTTTTTTTAATCATGCGTCAATAATTTCACAAAATTATACATAACATTTTACAAAAAAATACAATAATGAATACAAGCGAATATTCGAAGTGCAACAGACTGACGAAGGTGTAAACTCTTCTTATCAATTATGTATTTGTATTAACTTAATTCTCCTTTTAAAAGAACCGATCAAAATTTTAACCGACGAACATTTCATATTTAAATAATGTATTGATGACAACACCAATTATTTTTAATGCGATGAAGATAAGTTTTAATTTTTTGTAGATAAGTTTTAATCTTTCTTTTAATTTTACAATTCTTATTCACGATTGTTTATTGATTTTATTTTATTTTATACTCTAAAGCATAATGTATCGTCATATCTCGCACATCCGTGCTTCAAAAGAAAAAAAAAAATATGTTGGAGTGGATTTCAATTAATTAGAACTTAGGAACATCACTAATGATTTTTTATTTTATTGAATCAACGCCGAATTTGCCGAGATATGTACACTTTAACATTGTAAATTGTTTTTTACTTTGATAAAGTAATGTATAGTGTACACACAAGATAAAATTGATAAAAAAAAAACACTGCCCCCCCTGAAACTTTTTCCTATCCAATACTGTTAAATACTGATTGTAATATGTCTTATATATTGAATGCCTACATACATATTATGAGAAAAATATATAAATAATTATTGCTGTATTTTCTATTTCAAATCGTGCTACATTGTTTATTCTCCTGGAGTGCCTTCTAGAAATGACTCCTTAATATGTATTTTTTTACATAATGCTTTACAATCTATGATTTGCAATAGAATTTATCAATTATAAGAATATTAATAAATAAAATTCTGTATTTATATACCGATCAAAATTCTTCTTCAATTAGGATACTAAAAGTATCTAATTGTAAAAGTTTTATACGCTTGAATAATATGTATATGTAAATGAAGAAGAAATTTGTGGACATACACAACAAATAAAGCATATTACTTTTATAATTATTGTATGTATACGATACAAAATGTATGTAATTTATTAATGTATATAATTTAATATTTTTTGCATGATAGATTTTAATTTTTCTGCAGATATTCTACAGGTAAAAAGAAATATTTATTCGAAGCTGCGGTTATACATTTCATACATTTTTCAAATCTATAAATATTGTATACCAATAATAATAATATATATATTTATATTATTATTTTATATATATTATTTTATACATATGTATATATATTTATATCTAATGTATATGATTATAAATGGCATGGATTGGCGAGAGGACAGAGACGAGGAGAAGGAACATCTGTTTCATCGAAGATGACAGCAGGGGGCGCCAGTGAGGTGAGCGCCTTCCGAAGCGAGGTGAAACGAGGACGCTCGCGAGAGACGGAGCACGCAAGGATCCTTTCTTTACTTTTTCGCCTCCTCGGTCGGGAAAAAGTAGAAGAGCCGTGAAATCGCGTAGGATCGCGAAGACGCTGTCGCGACTGGTCGAGCTGGTATCCAGGTCACGCTTCGCCAGGTCGTCCCCGCCGCGACGCGCGCTTCCATCGGCCGTCATCGTCATCGTGGTGGTGCGAAAAACCAGATTGACATTTCCCGCCCAACCTCTCTCGCCGTCCAGGACGGGATCCCCAGGTTCCCCGTGAATTTCATCACGAGCGCCTCTTCCCCCAAGGGAGGGCACCAGGGGGCCCTCTCCTCGAGGCACCTCGTCATCGTCATCCTCCCCCGCCGTCCTCCCCCCGCTCGAGTCAACAACAACGACGACGACGAGGAGCAAAGGCTGCGACCGCAGCGCCATCGCCATCAGCGCGACCGCCATCGCAACGAGGTGCGCTATTCCGTTCACTTCGCGACGAAGCCACGAAGAAATGCCCGTAGGTTCGAGATCGATCGGCAGTCCGAGTTCCCGCACGACGAGCATGGAGGTATCGTCCAGGACAAGCCTGTAACCGGGCTGCTCTACTCGTGGGAGCGACGTCCGGATCATCATCGTCGTCGTCGAGCATCGCACCTCTGCTCCACGCTCGCGTCGGGTCAGCTGCTGCTACTACTTGGCTCCGCTAGGTTGTTGCTGTGTGTGTGTGTGTGTGTATTAAGTCGTCTCTCCTTGTGTAGCCCGCGCGAGCAGCATCGCGATACTTCGTCCATCGGCGGAGGCCTCGCGCCGTCCAGAAAACGGTGGCCACGATGGAGCTACGTGTTGGTAACAAGTACCGGCTCGGACGGAAAATCGGGAGCGGCTCCTTCGGCGACATTTACCTAGGTAATCCCCCCCGCGAGCTAGAGAGAGAGAGAGAGAGTGAGTTCTTCTTCGTCTCCCCCTCCTGCTCACCTTCTCGGTTTCTCTTTCTCTTTCTTTAACCCTCGTCTTCACTCCTCCCCCTCCCCTCCCACAGTTTACACAGAGGATTTTGTGTATTTCATGCGCGAGAGCGTGAAACTCTCCTACATTTATTCCTCGCTTTTCCTTTCTTCTTCTTCTTCTTCTTCTTATTCTTCTATTCCACCACTCGTCTTCTTTCTTTGTCTTCTTTATTTTGTGTCATGTAGGTGTATGTGTACATATGTATGTGGATTATACATATGTATGTGGATATGGCTTATGTGTAAATGGACAGTCTTGCTTCAGCCTTTCTTCTTTACATTTTGCAGGTACCAATATTTCTACGGGTGAGGAAGTCGCTATCAAGTTAGAATGCATAAAGACACGGCATCCGCAGCTACACATAGAGTCCAAGTTTTACAAGATGATGCAAGGAGGCGGTAAGTAGATCAATATTTCTATGTATATTACATGAATGTTTATTCTGTAACATAGAAGCTATCATATGTTCTCGTTTATTAGACAGCTGATCCAATATCTTTACTTTTACATCAATATGACTATATTGTATTATATTTCTGAGATCTGTTTATTTTTGTATCTCTTTATACAATTTCAACATGTTGAATAAATATAATAGTATAAGATACTATTATAATTCAAATTTGATAACTTCAAAATATTTATTATGGTGAAAAGTGTATAATTATATTAAATTTTCAAATAAAAATTATACAATTTTTGTTATTTTTTTAGTTGAATAACGCTTCTATACTGTGATTATTTCATCACTTTCACCAGCAGTAGAGTTTCATAATACTTATTATAACATAATATTTCTTTTTGTGTGTATGTGTGATATAGTTACTTTGTATTCTAATTATAATCTTTAAAGTTTCCTCTTTTTCTGATTATATTCAGGAGTTATAATATCATGTTCTTAATATTCTAGTTGGAATACCAACTATAAAGTGGTGTGGTTCGGAGGGGGATTATAATGTTATGGTAATGGAATTACTTGGGCCATCACTGGAGGATTTGTTTAATTTTTGTTCAAGACGTTTTACTCTGAAAACAGTTCTACTCCTTGCCGATCAATTGGTAAATAAATATTTTTTTTATTTACATTAAAATATCTTTATCTTTATTGAATATGCGATATAAATATGATAGCTTAAAAATTATTGAATATTGTATAATCTATAAAAATTTAAAATATTAATGTTATAATATGTAATATTATAATTTGTAATATCTTTATGTGACTAATTTTGGATATATCTTGATTGTGTGCGTTATGAGAAATTATTTTATGAAAATTTCAGTTTTGTTATATACTTTATTATGCATTGCAAGAAAGGAATCTATTTATGTTGCACATTCATGCCTGCACTCTGAGATAAAAGGCTAAACAGATAACTTCCATCTTATTATTCTCATATAGAATTGCTTTACTGTGTTTGTGCAGGGTGTTCCTGCTCAAATGCCTTGCTATATGTTCAAAGTTCATATTGTGATTATATTTGAGTATTTATTACTTTATTTAACAGGGAGAAATGTGCCACTGTATGCTTTGTTATTGCTTCATATAGAATCACTCATATATTCTCAATATCTTTTTCCTTCTCTTAAGATATATTACACAATTATTAAATTATATATACAAACGTTTAATTAAGTGTTAAATGTAAAAATCTTACAGAAAAAATATATTAATTAATTTTTTATTCAACTACTTTTCACTTATATTTGCTAATGCTTTGATTTGAAAGAAACATTCATATTTCAAGAAAAATAAATAATGCTTTATATAATAAATCAATTTAGCAATTATGCAGCATGCATAATTACCAATTAAATTGAATAAGCAGTTTATTTATCTTTATCTATGATTTTTGAAGCATGAAGCATGCACATTGAAACAGAGTGTACAGTTATAATAACAGTGCTTTAACTTCTCTATTCTGCAGATAAGTAGAACAGATTACATTCACAGCCGCAACTTTATTCATCGTGATATTAAGCCAGACAACTTTCTGATGGGCCTGGGAAAGAAGGGTAATCTCGTCTACATTATAGATTTCGGATTGGCTAAAAAATATCGCGATGGTCGCACACACAAGCATATACCCTATCGAGAAAACAAGAATCTGACGGGGACGGCCAGGTTAGAGCTATATCAATAGTACATCAATAATATATCGTTGCATAATAATTTATCCAACTAATTCTTTCGCCATGATAACAGATACGCGAGTATAAACACACACTTAGGGATTGAGCAGTCACGGCGGGATGATCTCGAATCTCTGGGCTATGTCCTCATGTACTTCAATAGGGGTAGTTTACCTTGGCAAGGATTGAAAGCAGCGACCAAGAGACAAAAGTACGAACGCATTTCCGAGAAGAAAATGTCCACTCCCGTAGAAGAACTCTGTAAGGGCTATCCCGGTAAGTTCCTCTTACGTATCATATAAAGTGAAATCTTTATCATATCATGAGATTTCGTATAATAAAGTGAATATTTGCTTAATTATCGCAGTGGAGTTCGCGTCGTATCTAAGGTATTGTCGGGATTTGCGCTTCGAGGAGAGGCCAGATTACTCGCATCTTCGACAACTTTTCCGAGCGTTGTTCCATGGTCAGGGCTTCACCTACGATTACGTGTTTGACTGGAATATGCTGAAGTTCGGTAACGCGAGACAACCAACTTTACCCTCTGCGCAGCAAGCGCCCATGCACTCGCAGCCGTCTAACGCGGCGCTGCCTTCTGGGACCAACAACGATCAAGAACATCGATCAAGGTCGGTGTTTTGTTTAAAAAAATATCTGTTACCTTGAAAAAATTCTCAAACGTTTAACTAGCGGCCCGTTAGTGTGATTGCATCTTTACACCATACCATCTTTTCACGTTTATAAATAGCATGGTCATTTCTCGTTGCTCGCAAGCGTGCTCTATTTTCGGCGTCTGGGACAACGAATCGGTCTGCCGCTTCAAGCAATAACAAGCAATATTAAAATTTTTTTTAATTATTACTTTATTTCTTTGTACTTAAAATTCTCGATAAATTAATATGTCTTATTTAATTTAAGGCAAATCTGGGAAAGTATCTCACACTAATCTTATGTAAAATGGAATTTCGACTAGCAGATTTTACTAAGATTGAATTTTATATAGGATTAGAGATTTATATAGGATTATAATTTTTGAATTTATATAAAGTTCTAAATGAAATTGAATCCTGCTAAAATCAGTTGGTTTTTTTATATATTGCAGCTTATGATCTACTAAACAAAAAAATAGGTTCAAAACTAAATAGACAATTACTGATTTACAATCAGTCAGACATGAAGAACTCGGGCTTTACGAGCGGTTTGACTGGCTGTAACTCAACAATTATCCATTATTTACTTTTAATGAACTATTGAATTTTTTGTTTAACAGGTTATAAGCTAAAACATATAAATAAATCAGTTGATTTAACCGAAATCCATTTTATATAAGATTAATGCGGAATGCTTTAAATTAAAGTTTTCAAGGACTAGGTGACTCTATAGCATGCAAAATCCTGTACAATTGCGTTTAATCTTAGACGCACTCTTTATTATAGTATATAATATATATTACAACATGTTTTGTTTATCAGTGAGAAATCTATATTTATATTTTCGTTTGCTTTCAGGCCCTATACGCGGCAATGTTTGCCGAACGCGTCCGGGCCGACGGTGGGCCCGACGATTGGACGCTTGGACCCGAACTCGAGTTTGCGAGCAATCCGGCAGAAACGCGACATAGAGACTCGTGGTGACCAGGACAATCAGGACAAGAATGATCTCCAAGGTAAAATACAATTCTACCAACAATTCTGCGCAAGCCAACAGAATTTCGTTATTGCGAACGAACGAAAAACGCAACATAGTGTGACAGTCGGACACTCGCAGCAGCCTGTGCCTATCTGTAGCGGCAATGAGACTGCCGCCGCCGCCACTGCGACGCGCGTGATAAATCCATGTCAATTCAGTACATTCAAGTCAACTACTACGCCGGGTAATAGGGCGGCACTGCCGCCACCGTCAGATGCGGCCTCTCTAGACCTGACCGGTCTCAATCTAGGACGTAGTCGCGAATTAGGCTCTAATCGTATCGCGGAGATTAATCCTGCAACTACATCGCGCGACTATTATCAACCGACGATGGGTAGAACGCGTGAGAGGAGCCCGAACACGGCGTCCCGTCAACTCGATAAGCAGAGCTATTTTTTTCATGGGCATAAAACTGAGAAAGACGTAGATCGCAAAGTTGTGATGTTTGAGGATTTAGGAACAAAGGGTGTTTTAATGGATTACGTTCGATTGGCGGACGACACCGCAGCGATCTCGGGCGGCTCAATGAATTGCTTTGGTGGGCCGGATAAAGAGAAAAGCTACGTTGATTATGACGATGATAAGAAACACAGGTGTCTTGCGACGAGCAGCGTACGACGTCTCACTCACGAGATGCAACGTGACTCAGGAAACGTGGAATTTCTTGAGAAAGAGGGTGAAATCTTTAAAAAGAGTAGTAATGAGTTTTTGCAGGATACCTTAACTAGCAAACGTAGAAACTTCTCTTTTCGCAACAAGGATAAAACGCATAAAAGCTTGGAGTCGCTCGAGAAAAATATCCATATACCAGCTGTAGATTGTAAAAGTCTAGATCTTTTGCCGGAAGAGCAATCTAAAACTTTTTTTCATGGTAAACAGAGGAGTTTCGATTTGCCACAGAAGAAGTCTGTCGATTCAACGACGAACAAGACACGCAAGCGGCTTAACTTCTTACAACGAGTCGGTAGGAGCTTGCATTTTTTACCCAGGGAGCGCGAGAAACGCCAGGATCTCTCGAAACGAGAGGAACGCACGATTAATAATCAATATCCTCAAACTGATCTAGAGAAATGCGAATATTTTTTACAGAGGCATCAGAAAAACGTAGATTTTTTTGAGGGTACGCCAAGCGCGTTGGTCAATCGTGCTCCCGTCCAATCCAATCTCGGTTCTTTTGATGTAGTAGATAGTACTGTTGAACAAAACTCTACTAGTCGTCTCAAAGATGCGCAGCTCAAGGATACGTTTCACACGAAACAGAATTTAAATAATTCTATAATGGTAGATACCGAAAATAATATAAAACAGAATAATTCGGATAATGCGAATAAATCGTTGGTGCGATCCGACATTTCGGCCAATATCGAATTAACTTTAACGATGCAATCGAGACTTCCATTCGAGAGTCCCATAGCGAGTGTCGTCACACAAGATACTGTGAGCGGCAACAAAGACAGCTTAGACATCGGATACTCCATCAGTGAACTTGGTAGACTTTACTTACATACTCTGCAAAATATTGATCATGCAGATGGTTTGCGACCTCTGGAAAACGTGGCTGACGCGACCGAGAAACGAAACCGCTACATAGAATGGGATATACAAATGAAGAAAGACTATGATATACTGAGCCACGGTATGAATTCATGTGATCTGGCTCATAATAAACCGGAGGGTAACTTGGAAATTCTTATAAATATCCTACTCGACATTTTCGTCTGGATTTGCATTTGAAAGCAGTTGTAAGGCATCTTTGGAGGAAGTTTTGAAAAACAGACGCATCCTCTTACATCACGTACCGAGCGATCTCCGTTATATATTTTCATATGGAAAACAACTACAAAATTAAGATTTCGATGGTCAGAGATGTGCTTCAGAAATGAAATATTTTTTACCAAGAAATATGTAGAATGAGCGTGATTTTTATACTGAATATTTTTCGCGATCTGCGCATTTTCATGCGTATATTTTCATACAATATTAATATTTATAATAGCTATTTATATATTTTCTCTATACACTGTCGACTTTATCTATGACATATAGTCATAACAATCTCATTGAAATCGTGGCTATCTATAAACAAACTACAAGATTGCCTTAGATTGCAGGTAAGAATGAAATTAATTTATAGATCGCATCATTGTGGTGATCATGAAATGCCTCGAGCCAATACGCGATTTTTTCTATCGTGCAACATATATGCTGTATGTGTAACCATATATTAGATTTGATAATTTTGTATACTGCGACTTCTCACACATGCATATACAGAATCGATGGCGCTCTTTAATACTTGAGAAACGCATCGCGAAATTTTAATGACGTGTATTCTTGCCGTATAATAGGTACGAAATTGGTTTTTTTGTTTGTTTCGTCCTCTTATTAGGTTCTACTCTATTTAGATTTTATTCTACGATAGCGATTGATAAGTATCCACATACCAAACTATAATAATAATTAACATATATTATGCAATCACGTGTATGTACATAAATATCTTTTTGTTTCTTTTTTTTAACAATTACAAGCTCAATTGCGACAATTAATCATAAAAAAAATAAAGAAACAGGACTTTGATTTTTATAAGAATCGTAAAAATATTATTTTAAGTAAAATTATTCAAACAAATATTGTTAATAATCTTCAGGAATGTGTATATCAAAATTTTTTTATTATAAGTTTATTTACTTTTTACATTGATACATTTGCTATATATAAAAATTTGTTCTCTTATGTTATAAACAGATTTTATTATCAAAAATAATGTCTTTTTTTAATCTTATTTTTCTTTATTTAAAATTGTATGTTTTCAATTATTTTTTATGATATGATAAGAATGACATTAATGTAGGGATATATGGCTTTAATCATTTTTTATAATTTATTTATTTCTGCCTTAATAATCTTTTGATTTATTCAGACTGACTAAAAGTTAAAAATAGACTGATAACACTTGTCATTAAATCTTTTTTGATGCTTGTTTACAGAAACATAATTTTTCTATTGCAATTTTTTTTGTTTTATTCATTCTCTAAACTTTTCACATTTTTCTTTCTTTTATTTAAAATCTAGAATTATATAGCATACACAACTAGCAATCACGTCATTTCATAAACATTAAAGTTTTAGAGATATTAATATTATATATCATAGACAAAATATCAGTACAATCGTTTCTTGTATAAATCAAAATCCGTATTTAATTGCGGTATTTATTTATTTTTTTATTTATTACAAAATCTACATGCTGTTAATCAAGCGATAAAATCAATTCTTACAGTTCCTTTCAAATTCTAATTAGTTTATATTTTTCCTCTTGTTTGAGAAGATTTATAAGATTAATGATAAAGAGATAGAGAGAGGAAGATTCAAGAGTTTTGTCAATTAATGTTATATTATTATTTAATACATTGATTTTACACTAATACATTCGAACCATTTAATGTAGACGCTTTCGATATGACGGCTACATTAAAAATATTTATTTGCAAAAATAGAGAGAAAAAGAATCAAAGTTTTAAACATTTAAATTAATTTATTATACTTTAATTTACGAACTCGCGGTTGACTGAATATACTCGAGATCTCGAATCACGAAAACAAAAACTGCGATAACTGCTTTACTGGACAAGGACTGACGAGTATTTTGTTAGAGTCAAAGTTTAATGTCAATAATAGTACATTCATGAAATATTATTTATTATAAAATTAATTTGATATAATACATTTTTTGGTGCATCTGAATATTTTGTTTTACATAAATACGTACTCGTATAATTGCATATGTCAAATATATTAATATATATATATATACACACATTTTTTAAATATAATATAAACTTCGTATTCACAGTTTCTTTCATAGCTTGTAAAATACGTTGCAATCTACATATCATGCTATTCCGGAGATTATTAAGAGGAGTGTTCAGTAATAAATTATTACACCATTTATTACTATAGCAGGATTATTGGATGCTATGCAATTACAAGCTCAGTGAAAAAAATGTGTTTACGGATGTACATTAAAAATTTATTTTATATGATGCATTGAACTCTTAAGAAAACGATAAAAAGAAGATAACATTCACAAAGATGTAAATGTCAAAATCTTACAGGCAAACTGTCAATCATTCTCAATCATTATGCTCAGTCAGATTTGTTGTTCTTAATTAATCATAAAATTCGAAGTATATAAAGTGTTGAATATTTCTCGCAGCAGAATCAACATGACACTTATGTTGCGTTTAATATCGTTAATATGAAATTATCGCGCTATTTGTTTCATTCGCGTAGAAGCGCGTTGTTAATTATAATTAGTGTTTAAAAGAAACGATATTGTGTTCCTTTATTTTAGTCATTGACATTTTCATCATTTAATTAAATGTATCCCGTAACGATTGTAAAGCTTCAACACCAACGTGTTTACTGATAATTAATTAAGCATACGTATTAGTCTTCGTATACGCGTAACGATACGTTCTGGTGAAATGGAAGAAGTCTCACGGATAATTATCAATAACCTTTCACAATTCATAACAGCTCGACTTTTCATTTTTCTAATTAAATGTTATATATATACAATATATATATGGGAGAGCGTCCAGAGACGCGCGGAAAGCGTTACCAAAGCTTAGATAGGGAACATAAAGTTTAGTTTACTATTTATCCATGATCTTTGTAATCTCAAAGGGTACTTCGGCTCTCTCATTTAGACGAAACAATAGAATGAGGAGATTTATCCTTATTATAAATATCTCGCTACGACACTGCCAACTTCTTCCTATGCACTAGATCACTAGATCCACAGGCATTGTCTTGATCGTTCATATTCTCTCCGTTTTTCTTCATTCATCTACGAAGTCTTCATATCGTATATTTATCTGTAATCGACTTGTTTTTTATTGATAGTAATGGTGATGATAATGATGATGATGATAATGATAATGAAAAGAAAGTAGCAAATAAATGTTTTTCCATTCAAGGACTGGTCTCTTTTTATTTATCTCACCACACGACATTGTTGATTATCCTTGTCAAAATTATTTCTCACTTGGCTTGAATGGAAAAACCCAAGCATACGATGAATAGCTTTTTAATCTATTCATCATCGAGATCTTTAGATTCAGAAGATTCTCGATATATGTTGATTCAAAAGAATAGGGAAAAAATCTGTTTTGAATAATTTTTGAATTTTGTCGCATCATCTGTCTTCACAGAAGCCGTATCATTCTTTTCTTATTTTAATTTATTTTTCGAAACACATTAACATTTGCGCATATTTCTTCGGTTACATTTTTTTATTTTTTTTCTAATTAATTTTTCCATTTCAATTGCCAAGAGTGAAAATCTACCCTACGTCGCCTGGTTGATGTTATTTCTATTGAATGACACATTGTTTTCAAACATAAATATGATTACTTTGACACATCAACCTGACGAATAAATCCTACATACGACACGATCCCTGAGATGTTGCATTACTTCGTAATTTACTATTATTGCTATTTCAGAAGCTTACAACAATCATTAAGAAATAACGATACAGTTTAATAGAATTCCAAATAAAGTATTTCTACTTAAACAAATTAGCATAATGAAAATTGTGTTAAAATCACAAAAAAAGATTGTAAAATCTTTACTAGGTTTTGAGAAACGATGTTTCAAATATTAGTCACTTAAATATGTTAATTTTTCTTTTTTAGCTATTTATTATAACATTTTATGTGAACCGTTCATATAAGAATAATATTTTTAGTTTATGAAATCTATGCACATGCATATATCTATATTTATTTAAATCAATAATAATTAAATACGAGAGTTATGTAATAATTTCAATAATAATATATTTTTTTTTCAAATAAGATGCGTTGCTTCGTCGTTACGAATATAAATTATGTCGTTTCAAAAGTAGCCTTAGATTGCAGGTTGACGCATGGTGGGTATAACGCACATACGTACTATGAAAATGTGTGCTTTGCAATGTAACGAGTGTTCTTCTTTGTCTATACGATTATTTTTCCTACCTCTTATTTTCCTCCTCGGCGAGCTACTTGCACGATTGAATGTACTGACCAAAATATTGCCGGTGAGTTTATGCGAGAATCGAGTTTTGGAATTTTTTTTAAAAGCAAGAATTTATTTTAATGAATATTGCTATCCCTTCTTTATGATTGCTTTTGAATTTGTGTACAAATCTTTGAACCTGCTGTATCAAAAAAAGGCGGTTGTAGAAAGAGTTTTTCTTTTGTATATATAATATATAAATATATATATATATATATATATATATATAATAATATATATAAATAAATATATATAAATATATATATATATATATATATATATATATATATATATATATATATATATATATATATAAATATACTAGAAAAAAACAAATCTATTAAAATAGGCAAGGTGGCAGCGAGTTGACGACACGAACACATAGGAATGTTGGCTGAATTTCTTTTGCAGTTTTTCATGCATTATTGTTTTTTCTGATAATCTCTTTCAGCATCGGGTGCGGGTGGACAGGAACGGAGGGTCAGCATGCGATTGCATCGTAGGGATACACTTCTAGCAGCTGCAGGAGAAATGCAGCCCAAGTCCAAGTGAGTTGCTACACGATGTAGAACAACTAAATCCACTAAACGATTGGGTATAACTTGCTCTACTGAGATCCGCGGATGAAAAATATCGTAAGCTTATTACAAACAATGTTGACGTTAATTATTTTTCACAAACGTTAATTATTTCGATTATTTTTAATGTCGTGTAGATAATAGGAAGGTTTTGGCATAAACGAATTCACGAAGCCTCTCTATGTTTTCATATACTATATTTAAAATAATGCTAAAATAAGTTGTCAAATTTTGGAATTTTTTTTAAACCAATTTGGACTTGACTTTTTCTCAATAAAATCATTCAATAGTTTTTGAATTAAGTTTCAAGAATTGAGATAAAATTTGATTATATCTCTAATAACAGACTTTTATTTTTTAACCTAGTTGATAAGATATTTGATATTGGTAATTAAAAAGTAATGAAAAACAGAGAAAGATCGATTCCAAATTTGTTAATGAATATTCTGGCGACTTATTTTCAGATCATCTTGCACAGAAATCTTCGCGAAAAAAGTTCAGAGCTTGTTACACTCTCGTTTGAGGTTGCATGATCGTTGCACATTTTGGGGAAAATTTCATTCTATAAGCCTGTTTTCTGATTCTATTTATATTTATATATCAAATATATCATACATATCATATACAGTGGCTGTGATATTAAGTATGAAAATTTGCAGTATATTAATGACATAAGCTGAACTTTATCAATTTTTCACAGCTCTCGCCAAGTCTCATGATTCATCGAGGCGTAATAGTCCAATTTTAAGATTGTAATTTATGTTACGCTTATGCAAACGCTAAATTGTGTTTTTTGTGTATCGATGCGCGTTAGTTGTACAGAAGCTTTATTTTAGTAGGAAGGTGGTGTCGCAATACCGTGGCATGGTACTTCAATTATTATTAATTCGGAATAAATGGATAAAGGGAAAAGAAACACATTTTGTCATTTGGAAAGAATTCTCGATATGCATATCACATTCAGGATGTCTTATTTCATTGCCATCTTTGCTGATATATCTATCTAATCATTTTAAAGTTTATTTGTAATCAAAACGTGAATGTTTCAATAAACTTCAAATTACAAGCGACTGAAAAATACATGGTTTTTTTTTCACAAATTTAATTTACAAAAATGCAAATAAAGATAATATAACGGTTTATGTAATTTTTTACAAGATTTAAAATTTAATAAAGATTTATTAATTATAAAGACATTTAATAGTAAAGAACAAAAACGCTTTTTCAATTTTCAAGCGGAAAGTAGTCTTTTAGTTTCTAAACTAAATTTTCAAGTTTATCAAAGGAAATATTATTGTAATGATAAAGGGACATCCTATATGTATTATTAACGCTATGAAATGAAAAAAATAAAAGATATATCTTACGATATTCATATTTAAGTGAAGAAAATATTCTCTCCAAATGAAGATAAAAATTTACTATTGCTTGCTGTCGAATGCACTTTCTCACAATATAATAATTATTATTTTTAATAAATTATATTAGAATATATAATTAACATGAAAAACTAATTAAAATTTCTATATTTTGGTAAATATATCTATAATGCCTGTAGCTTGTGATAGATCGGTCGGCTATATAATTTTGAGACTATCGCATGTGATTAATAAATTATTTACGAATAATTTTCTTTGTTGTTGAATTAAAATTTGATTATACTTTATATTACTGAGATGTCCAAGCATAGAAATCGCATGTCGATAAAGAGTAAAATAAAAAAATTGATATTATTTTACATTTTATACATATAGAAGTACATTTGAGCACAAAATACAAAAGTATAGTAAAATTTTATAATAATTTTTTCCAATTTGTTTTTAATTTAAATGATTTAATTTATGATATCTTATTCACAGAAAAATTAAGAATAAAATTATATAGATATGTTGCACATTTTTAATTTGCGATATTAAATGATACGAAGATTAAGATGTAATTTAAATGATTTCTTTAAGGAAAATTTATAAAGTAGAAATAATTTCAGCATGTCCTGTAAAGAAAATATTTTCTAGAACGCGCTGTATGTTTCTCCGCGAGGAGAAGACTTTCACATTTGCCTTTCAAGACTTGTAATGCTAGCAATAAGAGCGTAACGAGTCAAAGAATAGCTGGACGATTCAACTGGTTTATTGCACAACTCTGCTTAGTAACTGGTTAATCTACTATTGAATGTCTTGAAACGTAGACTTGATTTATAGAGTTGAATGACATTGTCATTATATTTTTATTAATACGATTTGCATTTGGAAATATTAGCACAAAAATCTCGTAAATTAAAAATGTGCAACTATGTAAATTTATCGTGTTTATTCTTGAAATTTTACCGAGTTTAAATAGGATAATTTATATGAGTTCATTGTTCTCTAAACAGATTACATTTTTTATGCTATGAATTATTATATATCATAAATATTTAAAATATAAAATTTTGATGTTTTATTTATTTAAACGAGAAAATATATAGATATAAACTTTCTCTCTATTTCTTATCTAATATTTCGTTGGTTGTGAAACTAATGGTATTTATTTATACATTTTTATTTAACGTTAACTAGTGCGTACTGGACATCTCTTGAAATAACTGTGCATGAAAAGGTGCACGTTTTCGCACTCTAAATTTCACAAGCATAATATATAGATAGAATTTTTTCTATGAAAGTATAGACACATGCAAAATTATTCGGCATCGAAATTCCGCTTTATGTTCTTTCGTTGACTTTTTTCAGGTAACCGAAAGCTATCGCACTAATTCTAAATGACAAAAGTAAACAAAGAGGGAGTGAAATTCTCTTCTGTGCCACGGTAGAGGACGCCGATCGTGAAAAGCTCTGATCACGGGGGAAACTTTCATCGTGCGAGCCTTCTCTCTGAGTTCATGCCTCTTCACGAGCTTATCGATAATTTGCCAGAGAACCAGTTATTTTAATGCAACGGAATATAATTGATTCTTTATTTATAATTTGTCGAATATTTAGAAAGAGATAACAAAATACGTCATATATATTAAAGAGAAAAAACATATATAATTACATAATATTTAAATATCTATTTTAATAGATTTTTTTTTATAAAAGAATATCTATTGACTATTAGTTATACCTTTATCTTCCGATATAGGTATATTTACTATATTGCGTTTTAGTGTGAGATAAATGACTATTGATTTTAATAACTTTAACTATTATATCGTTGTAAACGCGCAAGTGATTGTTTGATCTCACGAGAAGGCAAAAGAGCGAAAGTGAGGAGGTTTAATGCGACGAACGAGAGAAGGAGCGCTTTAAAAAAAAAAGAAAAAGAGGGAATCTTTAGCTCGTTTTTGTGATGAAGACGGTGGCGCGCTAATGTCGCTGTTTTGTGCTCTTTTGTTTTGGAAGCGCCAATGCGACGGCAATCGCTCCACCCACCCTGATGGTCAGGCGGGCAAGCGTGCAACACAACAAGTGAATCAGCAGCAGCAATAGCGGAATCATCATCATCATCATCGTCGTAATCAACAGCGTCGTTCATCATCAGGAGCGACGAGCAGCGATCACCGTCGCCATCGACACGGTTCATTCCTGCCTGTCGCAAACCGGAAATGAACTCGCGCGTACACGTGGCATCGCGCAGCCATCCGGCGAACGGTGATGCGACACGATTTTCGCGTGTCAATGACAATTCTATGCGTGGTGGTGCTTCGTTACGATGTATTTCCGCGATGAATATCGCATAACGGAAACAAAAAAATGCCTGCGTGCGACTCTTCTTCGTACCGAGTGGACGATGATGAGAAGGGAAAAAAAGGAAGAAAAAGAACGAACACGTCGTTTGTTCTCGTAGCACGCAGAATGAAGCAACGCAGGATGTGCGTTGTGTGGCGAACTGTAATAACAACTACGTCGACTACTGTGGCTTAGCAACGCTCATCGCGCGTCTTCAGGATGCAACGATGCAGCTCTCATCGCAGTGCGCAAGATTCTCAGACGGATTATTATTCCACTGAATGTCCTGGATCTCTTTCTCACGATCGAAGCGAATCCTGTCTGGAAAAACGCTCTCAACGACCATGCATTCACGAGGGTAACGAGGCTTCAAAAAATCCCTCACTTGCGGATGTAGGACGATAAATACGTGATTGTGATCGTTTTTTCTGTTTTCTTTTTTTTTTCAAGGCGAATCGCAAATGTACAGTACGCGGTTTCGATGATGGATTCTCGCAGTTGTTTATAATACATAGTATAAATTCGGAGATTATTTAATTTTCACGATACAAGAGGCGAGAACCGAATTGTGGCTAGTTTTGTTTTTTTCGAGTTTAGTATAACATAAGTTTCATTTCGTGAATATAAATTTCAAAGTAATTATATTTGTCAAAGTTTGTTGTAGCGTTATTTGTAAATTATTTCCGAAAGAGAATACAGAAAAAGAGTTCTTTTGTCAAAATAATAAAATAATTATAATGAAATGCGCGTATTGTAATGAAAGACCACGTTGATATATTAAAAATCGTGATACTTTTTTTTAAACATTATAAGTATTCTTGAGTGTAACGGTGTCTATTCAATTTGTAAATGTTTGTATGACTCCTAAAAGCTTAATTTCCTTTTTTTTAATGTTGTAAAAATCGACCTTTGTAATTATTTGTTAATGAAGTTGACTTCGCGAAATTATCGTTCGATTTTCACGAGACAGTCACAAGGATTAACATAATTCTGCACAATTATTAATCGTATCCTGCTCCATCCGGTGAGCTGAATACGTATGTATAAATGTAGAATATTACTTCATATAAGTCGCAACATGTACATAGACCGAATATATTGATGACTTGAGCAGCTGTTGAGTGTGTAAAGCTTAAAGTTACAAATTTTTGCACAAAAAAATAACATTTTTTCAGGCGATATATAAACGAGATATTAGCACCAATGTTAGTGTCAAGAGAAGTCAAGTGCAATCGCGGGAAAAAGCCAATAAAATATGGTTGTAATTATCAATTTCGCTAGAATGCGTTATTCGACATATACATTGCTGAAACATCGTTAATACGGTTCTTGCCTTAAATGCGGCGTGTTATTGTTCCGGTGAAACTAAAAAAAAACAAGATAACACACAAATTTCGGAAAACATCTGCGTGACCAAGAAAATAATTACAAAGTTACAAACGCAAGATGCTTGTCGAAACTTGAAAATTATTTTCCGAGAATCGCCAGAGGCTCTTTCCGAAACACCTTTTTATCCGGACAATCTCGCTGAGGAGAACAATCTCTCGTCGATTTACGGCAGCAGGATGCCGAGGTCTTTTCGCTAAAAAGCTCGATAGTTAAACGATCATACAGAACGTAGTACAACGGGCGCGCAAGGAGGGGAATGTCTAGTTTTAGGGACAATTCGTTCGGTTGTGCTTAGATGGTAAGGGGAAAAAGAAGAAAACACACGATTGCGAGTCTCCGAAAGAGCATTTTCTATTTCATCAGCATCGATCGGGCGTACTGTACAGATGGTGTGTGTATGTGTGTGTGTGTGTATGTCTGTGTTGTATGTGAGATGAATTATGACGTCGTAATCGCGCGCTCCGTAGTAACGAGATCTTATGTACGGAAAGCGCGATAATCGCGAGGGACGAATTCATTGTCTATAGATAAAACGGATGTGACCTCTTCTCATCCCGTGACAAACCTCGTGCCCTTCCCTTTTATACGGTAATAATACTAATTGAGAATATGTAAAAGCAAAAACAGTTTAATCGCGCACTCGGTCCTGTTCATCGACCCCTTCTGTTTTTCTCTTCTTTTTTCCTTCTTGAAAATCAATTTAAAAATGGACCGAAAAAAAAAGAGATTTAATTGTATGTGATATATATGCATATATATGCATACAGAGAGAGAGAAAGCTATCGTCGATGAACATCACCGCAGCATCGTTCTGCTAACGTGTGTGTATGTCTCGTGTTTGTAACAAGTGTGTGTGGATGTCGATTACGTGCGAAAGGTTGCGCGCGAGTGTGAGAAGGAGAAGAATGATGGGGAAGGAAAGTGCGAATAAGAAGACAGACACCAGGAGAATGTCCGCATTTACAAAGAACTCCGTCGCATTCGTATCTTCCATGTTTAACGCTTCGACCGCGCGGGATTATCTGATTCCGCGTTTCGTTTATCTCCTACAGGGATCACATGCAACTTTGCGTTAAATGTAGGCTACGAATGCGGGTCGATGAGTCTTTAATCTCACGTTTAACTGTCCAAGGATCGGTTGCATCGACGACGGTTTAACATAGTTAACTGTTTTCTCTCGCATTAATATCGCAGAATCGAGATCCAGAACAGTCATCTTTCAATGTTCTTGCGCCGACCGCCTTCCGTTTAATTTATAGTTTTCAATCTCTTGTCATTGCCATATTGAGAAGAGAGAAAGGCGGAATGGTTCAAAAATTTACGACAGCTGTCTGGTATAACATGCTCTAGTTTTTTAAAGATTCTATGTCACGTGAAGAAACATTGAACTGGTATCAAACGACTGAACCATAGATTTTGCATATTATTGTCATTATAAGACTTAATGTTACCGAATGCATTCACGCATGTCGCCATCGAGATATCAAGAACTTTCCGTCGAATATTACGATTTTCACTTATCACTGTCACAGCCTAGTTTATTATAATTCTCAATTAATCGAGGTCGTTGATGCAACCGAGCCCAATGATTGCGATTTATAAGACCCGAATTTCGCGGTTTCGAAATCGAACGTCTCACAAAATACACCGTAAATATATTCTAGAAGACATTCTAAACTTTCAAATCCTTTAAAATGTCTTTTAGAATTTGACGTTTATTAGAGCCGCGATTATGCAAAAAAATACTTGATCTTTAAAGTACTTGTAAGACTTTGTAAATCCCAAATGCATTTTTGTCCTATATCGAGTCTTTTGTCGAAATATCGCACCGGAAACCTTTTCCACGCACTTTTCCGTGTACTTGCAAAAGACGAGGACCTTTGGGAAAGATTTCAGAAAAAAGATCAAGTATGCGCGTTAACGATTAGCAGAAACCACCCGTTCCCGCCTCATCATCTTCGTCCTTCCTTCCTGTTTCTCTCTACCCTTCCTTCCCCCCCTCCCGTTTCGGTTCTCTTCCTAACATCTAGTACGATATATCGTACAATGCGTTGAATATAAAAAAGTGAAGAAAAAAAAACGAGAAAACGTGATAAAAAGTTACGCATATAAATATATTATACCAACACCGTGTTTTTCTATGTATTTTTTTCTTTTTTTTCATATAAGGTACTATTACTACTATTACTATTACTACTATCATATTATTACTATTTACTATTAATACTACGACTATTACCATTACACTACCGCTGCTGCTATTGCTAATTAACTGTTATTACGTTGTATATTGTGTAGTCAAATTCTCTGGATCGCAACGATCAACTCGAGACAAAATCGATTGTGGAGGACGAGGACAAAGTAACGTGTCCCGATGCGATATCCACCTATTCCGATCATCGCACATTATATTAACGTTGAATTTCTTCGTTTCCTCTCGCGCGGATGGAAAATATCCAGCGGCATAAATTGATTAAATTATCAATCCAAGAATTTTTATCATATCGCATTCTTCCACGTGAAACGTGGCACATTGCGCTTTTTTGATACTACTACATTAAAGTTACAAAAATTACAAAGATTGACAAAATAATTAAGGACCGAATAATATAATTCAGAGTTTTCAGACGCAAAGGTATCATAAAGATAGATATGAAATATTTTGATCACAAGTATGGGATCTGTAATGAAAAAATTTCTTTTCATGATTATCTAAAAGTATTTTTATCAATAATTAATTTTGACGTTCTTTTAACGTTGTTTAAGAAAAATCCATCCCTGTATCATATCAATATGCTTTACTTTTTAGGGAATGCAGACTGACTTAAAATTTCGTCTCTCATTTACCAGTTAAAATATTTATTATTCATAGTGATTGGATTTTTCACAAGTGACTTCTTTTTACATCGTCAGTAACAACTTTACGTAATAGTTGCATTGCCGTTAATCGGATCCGAAGCCTGATATTTTCCACTTCCAGTCACCTTCCTCGCTTCTTGTTCGAACAAATCTCATTTACCGCCCGAGAGAAAAGTTTCCTTGAGCCAACAGCATTACCTTAGTTATCAAACTTTTCTATATCGAAGGAGAAATATTTCTTGTATATATCTGTTTATTATTTAAAAAAACTTAGATCAGTCTTTTTTCGTCGTTTTTTTTTTTTACATAAACAGTTATTTTGTGTAATCTTTCTTTTTATTAAGTAGATTGTGTTTTATTTTATATAATTATTTATAACTGATTTATTATATACTAACTGTTTATAAGCGCGCGAGAATTATTTTTTTTTCCTATTTATTTGTGTTCTAAACGATACTTTGAAGAATTCATACATATATACACGCTGGATCAAGGAAATTCTCAGACAGAACCGCTTAATTCAAGGAAGAAAATAAAATCACTGCCAGCGCGAGCGAAAGTTCTTGCGTTTTCCCATCACAACTGACTGAAGATACACGCAGCAGCGATCCGGATTCGTTGCTTCGTCCTTTTAAATCATCGCGAATTCTTTGAGCGATCAATAAATCTTCTCGAGATGATCGATGCCACTGCAAGGAGGAACGATTATTCCTCCTTGTGTTATTTTGTATTTTTTATTTGCGCAGTTTGCACGACCACGAGGTCCAACCGAAGAACGACGAGAAAGATAAAAGAACTGATTTACAATAGAAACTATAGAGAACTTCATTAACAATAGGAACTATATTTACAACTTAAATTATAATTATTATTATATATCATTAAAAATTATAAGTATGTAATTTATCAATTAATTTTACTTATAATTATAAGTATATATTTTCTTAGTTAAAAAGAAGTTGAATGAAAATGTACAATTAATGTCATATTATCTATCTGAAATTAGAGATCTATATTTCCTGATAATATCTTGAGCATTCAATAATCTGTTTCTGCGTTCTATGGTTGGAGCTGCGTTTTGGATGGAAAAGATGCAGACTGTCGCGCAAGTGAAAAGCTGTATGTAATTACCAAGTTGAGAGAATACGCGTCTTTTCTTTGCGCAATTATGAGTTACATAGTTATGAATCGTACGTGCTTGTTCGGCCGGCCTAGGGGAGCTTTCGTGAATATGTGCAAATATATTAGATGAGAGAGCGTTTCAGAGTCTCGAGTCCGTTTTGCGAGACCGATGATAAGCTCCGATGGTCTCCCTTGGCGATATAATGTCACGACGACTGCGGCAAAAGTCGATGATAAATTCGCGATTGATGTATTCTAAGTGTACTAATCGAACTGTGTGTCGAGGCGAAAAAAAACGGTTTGTATATGTATATACAATTATTATTATAATCTATTGAAGCAAGAAGAACATTATAATAATATGTGCAAGTGTGCTTGAGAAGAAGTGAGAAAGAGAATGAGTGAGAGATTAGATAAAGTGTCCGATAAAGTGTGACAAAAAGGGCAGCAAAACCGAGAACGATAAAATAATAAACACTGTAAAACTGTCTTTGTGTACTATATGAAAAAAAAACAGCAACCATACCTATAGTTGAAGCGTGTTTTGGTCAATGTGAGAGAGAGAGAGAAAGAAAAGAATGGTGTGATATGTTTGACACTGATATAGTCTTGTTTCTTCGGTTGCTTTGCATTTGTACTTCGTTTTGGCGAGAGAACACTGGAGATATAATCGGTCGTCGAACGATGAGAACACATTAACCCATATACACTCATCATTTTTCTTTTCACCAAGCAGTTCACGAAAGAGAGATAAGCCTCTTTATTATTTCATAAAATTTCTGTTTTTATTTTCTAACAAAAGAATATTAATGATAAGAGAAAAAAACTGTTAAAAAATACATAGAATTTTCAATGATCTCAATTATATTTATTCCTTTTATTTGGCATAAAATACATTATAGTTTATTGTTCCTGCTTATATCGAAAAGTATTGCTTGCGCAATATATATCATCGTAAAATTAAAATCTTACGTAAAATATATCGCGAATGCATAATATTGTATGTAAATGGGTTAATCTCTGTGCATCTTCGTTGCACCACAGAGTGTGCAGAATTTTTCTTCTGTAACTCGCTCTTGTTAAACAATTAAAGACAACTAATGCATCTAATACTTATATTAATATATATTTTATTTTTGTCTAAAAACGATGAAGTATTTAATTTTGGCAAAAAATTTGTGTGCAAACCTCATTTAATAATGGCAATTACTTTATGTATCACATGATAATCTTAAAATAACAAGAGCGTGAGACAGCAAGAAAAGTTCTCTGCTTGTTGATCTGCAATAATTTGTGAAAATGATGTAAATTAAAAAGCTGTCGATTCAGCAACGTTAACGTTGTTAGAAAAGAGAGATTTGCGCGTCGTTAGGAAATTTGATATTTTCGCGCTACTCTGGCTGAAATCGATTGATTAAAAACAAGTCAAAAGAATGGCTGGTAAGATAACGAGATGCGATGTTGTTACTCGCTTAATTTTTGTTCAGTGAAGTCAGTAAATAGCGAGTAAACATTTTGGCGATAACGGATTTGCTATCGATGCATTCTGCTTTTAAAAGTGTATCGAACGTTAATGCTGTTTAAGCATGATTTGCGATTTGATAAAATGTAAGAATAATAGGTTCTGATTAAGCTCGTTTCGTATGCAGCACATGATATTTCAGCCATATACAGTGCAAGGTGTCCTAAAAAGAATTGTATCCACAAAAAGAAAGGAATTTCGACATTTCTATCTAAAGTTTATTTAGAGAAGTCGTAATATCTATTGATTTCAATTATTAAATCGCAAATATCTATGTTAGAGATTTCGATTTATTATAGATAAAAAATGGAAAGCATTAATTATAATTTTATATTATACGATTATCAACGAATCTACTGTAATTTTTGGATAAAATCTTTGTTTTAAAAGGCATGTAAAGGATAGTATACAAATTCCGTTATAAACTTGAAAAACATGATTTTAAATCGTAATAGAAATTATTCATTTGTTTTTACATGATTTGTTGGGCTAATATCGAAGATTGTAAGATTATAAATTTGCTTATCAAACTGTAACAGATTCGTTGACAAATAATTTTTATCGAATGTAAATTCCAAATGTTATTTATCATCTCTTCTCCATGACTTCTCAATTTAAATATACAACAAAATCACTGTCAAATTTTAAAGGATTGATTAAAATTCATTACATTCTATTGAATTTTTCGTTGAACTTGAAATCTGAATACAATGGGATCATAGATACATATAGCTTTTTCGGACATTCTGCAGATTTGAGACGTCAATAATTAAAAATGACACGTCTAAAGGAGAGTGCGACACATTCAATTTGTATTGTTTCCTTCAGCAGGTTCTCTTAGTTTCTTCGCCGCGTTACGTTCATCGTAGGAGCAAATTAGGAGCCGAAAGAAAAGCGTTCGCGTTATTTAGATCGAATGCAGCCACGGCAGAGGAGGGCTCGCGAATTATACGTACACAAGCGCTGTATTTCGGTAGAATATTTTTGAAAATATACTCGCGAGACAGAGCTGTGGCTAAGTACGGATTCGTCTCGCCTGTTCGCAGCTTTCTCTGTCGTTGTCTGTTTGTCGAACCTAGTTGAAGATGAAGAAAAGAGGAAATGAAGCATTTTTTAAATTAAATTGAAATGAATGAAAAAAAGCACTGGATTTATCCATCAGCTGTTCTGTCCCTTCATATAATCCTATTGAATTTCATGCAAATTAAATGCACATTATTATAACTGATCTTTATTTTTTTCATCTTTTTCTTATAATTTTGTTATTCATAAAAAATATAATTTCACTTGGTTAAATCTGTATAGATACAGAAATTTTTAAAATTTTGAAATAAAGATTAACTATAATATAATTTGATGTACCTTTTTAAGAAGATAATCTCAAATTTCTTTGTATACTAACAAGCTACGAAACCGCCGTCAACGAGCAAGTTGACGCCACTAATCATGGAACTCCGGTCGCTCAATAAAAATACAACGGCATCTACCACTTCGTCAACTTCTGCAACAAGAATTTAATACAATTGATGTAGTACAACTTAAAATCAAATTATTCATTGATTTTCACGACTAACTTCATAAAAACGGAAATAAAATCTCAATCGCAGAAACTTTTGAATTTATTTAAAACAATAGTAAAATTACATTAGATTACGTGTATGTAAATTAACGTTCAATAATTTTTTTAAATATTAATGCAAAAATGTTTTGTATATGTATGGCAACATTTAATTATCTATAGCATACAACGCCAATTTAATAAATATTAGCTGACAACTAATATTTTAAAATATACATTTCAAAAATATGAAGTTAAATAATACATAAGAATTACTTTTTTTACGAAATACATAAATTAAGATTTTACAAGATACATAAATTAAGTTTATAGATTATTAAATATCGTTAAAATTTCTACGAAAATTAAATCAAATGCTCCCTTATCTTTGTCAAAATAACACATGTCAACTGTCAGTTACTGATTACTTATTCTTCTTACTACCTATCAGTCATAATGTATCAACAACGTTACGTTTATACGAAAAATACCTACTGAATGATAAGATATTCAAGTACGACATAATATATATTAGTAAATGTTATCGTGATGGTCATGGGTGAAAAGATAATCTATTTTAACTTGCAAGATATACGTCTTAGCATTTTCTTTTAATTTATGAATATATTCGATTGATTTATATGAATTCTAAAATATGCCATGAATTATAATATATATAAAAATTAATAAATTATAAATTGCAAAATCTAAATTTATAATTTGTGTTTTCGTAAAAATTAATGAGTTATTTGTATCCGGATTGTACTTTGTTAAAATTATATCTCTCATTTTAATTTAATTAGAACTTAATCATTTCCGATTAAAATTATCATTTTAAGGAACTTTTTACATACCAGCAAATCGACCCAACGGAATTTGTTTTAACATATTTTGTGCCTTCTGCGGATCACTCCAACCCTTTTTCCCCAGCTCTGTCATCACGACCGTAGGACCGACAGCGTTGACTCTTATATTGTGTGGACCCAGCTCAAGAGCCATTGTCCTAAAAATATACGCAAATATGAAGATTAAAAAGATATATCATGAAAGATGTGTTTTTTGATTACACAAATTGATTGTTTGCACAATTTTTCCACGATAAAAATATATTAAATTATAAGCTGAAAATAAATTAGTTTTTAGCAAAATCAAATTTTGAAGGTAAAGATAAATAGCGGAATCTTATTTTCTCTCTCTTGGTTTAATATTAATTAAAATTTTGTTCAAGTAAATTTTACTTTAACAAAATTTTAATTGGTACAAATTTTCACTGAATAAAAATTGACATCGAATTGATCAATAAAAACACGCTTCTAAATTTTTATTCTTTCCATATGTGCATTTCGCATTTATTCGTAGATTAATTTGTACGTAAAGTTGCGAAAATGTTTGTGTCTCGTCTCAATAATTTTCTATATCGATAATTCTCCTGAAGCGAACTCCTTATTTAAACATTAAGTTTTCATTTTACGTATCATATAACAATATCAATTATTATACTTGAACATCAAGTTAAGAGCGCCTTTGGACGCGCAATAAATGGTGTGATCCCTCAATGCCACCTCGCCGGCCTGCGATGACAAATTTACAATGCTGCCGCCGCTTTTGCGTTCAATCATGTTTTTAGCTACAATCTGAGACACGTTCAATACAGCTTTCACGTTGACATCAAAAGTCAGGTCGAATTCCTCGGGTGTGGAGTCCAAGAACGATGTGAGGTACCCGACGCCAGCATTGTTGACCAACAAATCGATCGGCAAAATATTCTGAACGGCTTTTCGAGTTGCATCCCAATCACGAAGATCGACGCAGACCGGATGAATTTTCGGATCAGCCGCGACCAAACTGTCCAAGTTCTTTTGCGTTTTTGAGAGCGCAAACACCTCTCCCTTATACTTGGAGAGACGTAAGGCCAATTCTCTACCGATACCTGCAATTAATAACAAAAATTCATGAATGAAATTTATAAATAAAATATCTTTCTATCTTGTCGCTATTTTCTGTAATAGTTTTTAAAAAAGTTTTCTATTACATCGATTTTCAAATTTTTCAAATTTTTAGCTTGAATTAAAAAGATAAATGGGTAAACCTGTCTGCCAATTATGAAACTAATTAAACTGAATAAATGGATTCAATATTCGATTTTTTACTATTTTATACATGTATATGTGAATCCGTGGAAAATTTTAATTATTTATCTTTTTATCGGATATGATAATAAATGAAGATAAAAATATTACCAAAAACATTTTGTTTGAAATTTATATCTATTATAACAAAGCATTATTATTCACAAAATTAAATTAAAACACGCGCCAAAACACTGTTCAACTTTTAAAATAAATTTTTATTACGGTTTTCGTTTTACTGCAAGATGTTTATTTGCATTCATCGTTTTATAACGTTCATTATATATAAGAAAATATGACAATATATAACTATACACACGATCCATCTTATTAATTCAATTATAATAATTAATTTTTTTCACTGTATGTAATGTGTTTAAGAATTGTTATTGTAAAATTAATCTTTAAATCTGAAAAATTATTTTTTGGGAAATTTTAAAAATCAAAGATGTGTGACGTACCTTGACCAGTGCCGGTCACGAGAATACGCTTTTTTTCGAAGTTGATGTTCATGGCTGCTCAGCTGCTGCTCTCGTTTGTCTTATTGCAATAACACAATAGTATCACTGTAATGTATTGTAGTATGTAGTATAGTATCGTACGTTTATCTTGCCACACGCAATCTTTGACACATTCGTCCTCCTCAATGCTTTTGACAATGTGCGAGTAGTGATGTGCTTAATGAGTGCGTGTTAGATGGTTTAATGTAACTATTGCGACGAGGCAACTGATAAAGCAGTTTACACATATTACGATACATATGATATTAGATTCAGTTATTTTCCACCATTTCTTCTCGGAATAAAGTCCCTATATACTTCGATAAGAAGCGGCACATTTGAGATTTCTGTGCAACTAATTGTAAGTATATACAGACAAGAGATGAAACAATCGATAAATTTAAGACATTTTGTATAATTGTGATGCAAAAAATGCACAAGGAAATTGATAAACAAAATGTTACTGAGATAGACATGTATTAGCACATTTATATAACATAATGCAATGCTTTTTGTGCGATTAGTACAATATATAAAAATATAAAAACATTTTCTGCACCACACAGTATTCTTTAATGTGGTTTTTACATTAGATAAAAATTTATATATTATATATATATATATATATATATATATATATATATATGTATATAAGTAAATATAAATTTATATATATATATATATATATATATATATATATATATACTTAAACTCGAACAAATTGTATTCTTTTCAAGCTACAAAATTATGGCAACTTCTTTTTCTGTATTCTATAAAAATGCTTGGATATTGCTTATATATATTGACTATAATCATTATCAACTTCAAGCTAATAATGTATGAAAATATGCAAGCAAATAGATAAGCGATATAATGGCGAGAAAATTTTCAGTTTAAAAATGTTATCAAATTTGCCATTCAAACTAGCAAATTGATTTTTTCGACTAGATAATTCTATTTTTTTGTTATTTTATGGCTTTTAAATTCATTATAATTCATATCGATCTCCCGATTTGATCGAGGTGACGATATTTTGCACGATTTTTGAGTCTTCCGTATCGCTGATATGCCCGTCCTCGCCGGTATAATGTGTCGGATAAATCAGGAGTGGATTTGTCGATAAGATTATTAAATCCCGAATAGGGAATTTGGCCGCCCACTCTTCCCTGTCAAAATAAAATACCGTATAAATATTATAACATTCGCTGAAGCCAATCGGATGTAATCACATAATACGAAATCGATCATGACTTTCAAAACGTTCTACTTATTGCGAAGGGATTTATTTCTCTCTGAGATTTATTTATTCTGATTATTTGATTAAATTATTGTGTCGATATTGATCGTCTATTTATCTTTAAACCTATGAGCATTAATAATTTCACATACTTAGGATGCTTGTTCGAAAGAATTGGAAGATATTCGTCAACAGGAATTAATTTCCCGAGAGGCATAGCTCCGATCAGTTTCTTGGCTCCGCTCTCTGATAAAATATAGCCGACTGTCCAATAGCTGTAAGCAGCCTCTAATAGAAATTTAGAGCCTTCTACTGGACTTTCGGACTTTGCCAATCGCTTCCTTCCCATGTATCTGTGATAAATGTAAGATTGCGAAAATGTAACAATTTACAAGAAATTAACAAATTATTAAATCTCTGACTTATCTATCATAAACTACTGATACAACCAAATTAATCTTTCTCTTAATATTTATAGTGTTTTTTAAATGAAACAAAAATGTCAGTTTCAATGAAATAAGACGTTAAAATTGCAGAAAGTTAATTATACGAGATAATTATAAAAATTTACAAAATGAAATTAGTGAATCACTAAAATTAGTGGAAAATAGCCAGAAAGCTTACACTAAATCCCACTCGATTCCGAGATCGGACAGCTCTGCCAAAACGTAATTGACTTTCTGTCGAAAGAACGGTTCGAAGCGAACGTCGTCCTCCAACACCATGACGTTTTTGTAGCCGTACTCTAGCATCTAATTTATTTATTTTATCAGTAATCATAACGAGTATATTTTCAGAAATGTCTCATTTACCTTTTTCCATACAACGTAGTGACTAAGAAAGCAACCAATCTCGCCCATTGTCATCGGCCTAAAAAAAATTAATACTTATATATAAAGAATTCACTCGCAAAAAGAGCTGCGGAGATACACAATTTATTTAAAGAGACTTATAGATTGTATAATTCTGACTATATCTATAAAAATTTTCTCTTTCGATTAGTTAAATCAATTTTTTTACCGTATATTCTTGGATTGTTACCTCTCGTGATAAGGATCGGAATATTCCGGCATTGGTATCACACCCCATTTTTTTAAGGAACGATCATTCAAAGTTCTAGAATGATAAGAAAGAATAATAAGATAATATTAAATAAGTTTACAAAGAAAGTTAATATTCGCTCGATATAAGTTTCACAGAAAGTTATAGAAAAGGAATAAACATAACCGTAATTTAACTTGATTAAAAACAATCTAACAATTATTTAATAGTTGATCAGTGATATATTAATGATCTAATAAATCTACCATATATTCGTAAGAATAGATACACAAAATAATAGCTTATATAGTATTATATATATATATATTATCCGACAAAATGTTTTACAGAAACAGATAGTATATATATTGTAATATGATTTTTAAAATTTAAAATCTCATAAGAATTATCGTTTGTCATATAATTAATTTTAATTAATAATTAATTAAATCGTCAATTAAATTGAAAAATTGTGGTTATTTAGAAAATTTTAATATAATTCAAATAGGGTAGAAGAAATGTCTGCGCGATTTTCCATTATTAGACTATAAATTATACGCGCAATTATTCTCAGCTCGCTGAAATAGATGGATATCTGATGTACAAATAGTGAATAATCTAGCGTATAAATATCCGCATTATTTAAATGAGAGAACTAGCGGGATACAAGGAACAAAAAGAGATGATCTAAAAATAAATCCTGTAAACCAGGAAGCAGATGGCCAAGTGTTGTGGTGGTGTAAATTACACTCAGTTCGTGGTCAATACATCCGATCAATATGTATTATATACGCCTACGTTGACACCCAATCTTGTTTCCGAGGAGGAGATTCTGTCCCTAGAGGCACTAGCGTTTCAATTAAGTTTTACGCGGTGTCCTTTCGACATGCTTACTTTGCGAATCGCCACGAATTTCACACCTCCAGTATTTATCTTACACTCTTCAGTTTCGAACTAAACTTGACATTTTAATTATTTCCCTCTCTTTCCATCAATTTTGACTTAATTTACTATTATAGTGAGGTAACAACCTCGTAACATTTTAGCTTAAAAAATGACAAAAAGCTTTATACATTTTTTAATTGATTAGCATATAAAGTTTTATATCCTATGCTTGAATGATATTGATTATAATGTAAGTTAATATACTTTCTTCAAAATATGACATTAATATGAGTGAAGGGGAAAAAGAATATATTTTCTTTTACTCTCAAATCATAAAAATAATCCATCATATGAAGATTGAAAGAATAAGATAACTGTACAACATTTTATATAACAAGTATATATGTAGTACGTACATTATGAAAATATAAGATTTTATTTTTATAATTGAATTTTATAAAAAAAAATATTGCATAAATAACTGTTAAATTATATTAAACATAAACTACAAGAAAACGTGATACGAAACAAAGATGGCAAATTAAGAATAAAACACACTACTGTATGTGTATACAAAATTATTATTAAATTATGTATTATAGTATCAAATATAGTTAAATTATGCATTATGCAAATGACATTCAAAAATTCAGAATATTGATTAATTTGATAATTATATTTGTATCAAATATATTTCTAAGTTATGCATTATGCAAATAACATACGAAAAATCAGGGTATTAATTAATGTAAACCCACTTATACGCGCGTAAATTTTGCCAGTAAAAGGCGTCTAGAATATTTTATGATACTAATGTTCTTGGAGCATCATCAGGAAGTTAACCGAGGGTAAAGACACGCGGAAGCGCGAAGAATCTGTCTTAGATCCAAGCTTATATATGGTAAATCTGATTATTAGTGCAAAGTCACGCAATATATTCCGCTTCCTTCTTGTGAGACAGATTAATCAACTAGGGATTTCTATCCATCAATCGCATTAGTGAAAAAAATGAAAAATATATATATACCTATAACTACTTTTCGAACAAGCGTATCGTGAAAATAAATTTTTAAATTTGTCTCAAATTGTAAAAAAGTGAAGAGTAAAATATGTGATTGAAAAATAATGTAATTGCATTTTTAAGCATTTTCCTTCACTGTTATGTCTTACTTCTATTTTATGTGCTTTGTATGCTTTCTTTTCAACTAATTCTTCGATTTACATTTTTCATAAAATTACTTAAAAAATAAAATTTTATCCTAAAGCGCGATTTATTCTAATTCCCTTGATTTTTCTCAAGTAAAGAATTTTTCATTAAAAGAAATGTCATAAAAATATAATAATACAATGACGATGTCCGTGCATACCTAATCGTATAAGTCTAAAGCTAAAGCGATCAATATTTCTCGATTGCGAAGTTCAGGTATCCTCGAGAAACTGACGATAATAACGAATGCGCGTAGGATGCATTTTAATCTATCGCATCATCAACGCTTATCGACATTAAGGGATCGAATCTTTTTTTTTTGTTTTATACGTCAGTTTTTTTCCAACGCGCGCGACATTCGCGTTCTGCGCTTGACACGCCGTGAGTCTGCGCGTGGTAAATTTCAAAAGGACTCGGCCGAACACAGTACGCGAAAATTCTTTAGTCCATCACCGACCTCCGCCCCCTCAATATTGCATCGGATTTCGATAAATATAATAAAAAAGATTGTGTAACAATAAATACATAAAAACGGTGGTAATAGCGTGGAAGCAGATTGAGAATACTTTAATAAATACGAAGGAACAGGAAAAGAGTAAGTAATATATGTATATGTACGTGATATATTTCTACGTGTGTTGCATGCATTTTAAAATTTAATTGTAATCACAGACAAATAATCAATTTTTCAATCATTCTATTATACATTAATCACTTTTTAATTGCATTTAGATTAGCGTAAAATATTGCAGAATAATACTTGTACTTTTTAAATGATTTTAAATTGTTTTCGAAGTTGACATAGCATTCGTTTTTAACCATCATTATTATCAAAAGTATATCAAAAGTAAGACAAATTTATTGTATGCAATATGCATTAAATGCACAGTATCGTATATTGCAATTCATTTCAGTTAATTCCATGTACTTGTAATTTTGATTTAATAATTAACAATTATTAACTATTAACTGTTACAAATAGAATTGCTATTCTTTTAAAATACTAAAAATATGTTATAAATAAGTATAAAAACAGAAATTTAAGCAATAAATCTAAGTAATCTACAAAAAATTTTAATTTAAATAAAATATTTTTTAATTTTAATCTACTTTAAAATTAAAATAATAAAAAATTAATATAAATAACCTATCTCCGATAATTTTCAAATTTTCTTATATATTTCTTCACTTATTTTTTGTTATACCTACGTACAAAATTAATGTGCTTATTATATGCATATAGTCTATTAAAATAATTGATTTCAAATCTTCTTTTTATTGATTCAACCGCGCATTGTATAGGTGTATATAAATATATAAATTTTTAATCTTACCATAATAATCATTTTTAAATATTAAATAGTATATTATTTAATATAAAATGCAAGATAATATCCAAATTTAAAAGTACATTAAGTTTACAAAAGTATATATACACGTTCCTCTTCTGTTCATATAAATTTCGTTGGATAGAGAATAAAGTTTCAGCCATAAACGAGTTAAGTAACAAAGTAAATATCACGTAATTTTTCTAAAAAAATTCATCCCTCAAAAAATAAAATCAAATTGAGCATTTTTCCGCCTCGTGTTAGCGGACAAGAATTTTCGTTATCGTTGCTATCCCATCTGTGAAACGAGCACCTATTTTTTATCGAAGTCTTTTATACCCGTTCCACGTGGATTTAATGGACTGTTTGAGTATAAGTGAAATAAATATTCTCAATATATAGTATAATCATTTATTTTGAAAAAGTAAACGCAAAGCAAAAACATATTTTATTATATGTAGAAATTCATAATTCTTCTTTTTATTTTTTTTATCTTGTTTCCTTACAATATTTTCTACAAATTATTTACTTATACAAGATGTCCCAGTTTTCATTAATATTGAACATTCAAAATCAATTTCTTATGGAAAAAGAGAAATAATTATTTAAATTAAATTTTTCTTTTCAACGTTATATACATCTTTAAATTAATAAAAATCTCTTTACTAAATATTAATGCAGAAATATAGCTTTTTATTCCCGCGTTTAGCAATATGTCACTCAGTTTCTAAGAATATATTTTTAAATCACTAATTATTCACGAACTGTTAACCTGACAAAATATTTTACAAACTTATCTTGTTTAATAAAATTATAAAACATATAAAATGGAAAATAATTTATTTCAAGTTGGCTAAAAGAATCGAATATCAAAAGATAATACAAAATATAGAAACGAAATTTTGTAAAAAAAATGACAAATATTTTAATTTTCGATGACGAGAATAAATGTTTCACTTACATTTTCGACGTATTTAACCCATTTTATTGATGCTATCAAATTATTTAACGAAAATATCGAGACAGAATTACGAAAATTGGTTACAACTTCTCTTTTCTCGCTTTCATTTTTTCACACATTTTCTATTCACGTTCTTATTTGTCCTGATAAATGACGTCCTAATTATTAACACGTCGACAGACGTGAAAGAATACTCCTTCAAATCATTGATCATACGAAATGCAACATGTGTCGATGATATCGCGTCACACCCACATTCGAGTAAAAGTTGGGAAAAACGAAAAGGGAACTTATTCGCCGTCGGCTGTTGGAACTTTCGAACAAAACAGGCATCAATCTTTCTTATCGTTGACATATAAAGCTCTGAGAAAATATTGGTATATTTCAATGGCAATAGAGACTAATTGAGTGACCGAAAAAGGATATACAAAGGATTAAGTTTTTCGTAGAAAAAAAGAAAATTAATCTACAACTTCTATATAGATTTATCTTAGGGAGTAATATTGAAGAGATATAAAAAAACTTTTACATAACTTTTTATATTACGCACCAGTGTTTCTTGAGATCAATGACCCCAATGAAAGAGCTGTGTGATCTTTTCAAGATATCTTGTTGCAAATCACCACATCTCACCACAATATCCTTGAGTCCTCACATACGCTTTTTGAGAGGATATCTGAAGAATATTTTTCAA